ATAATTTTTCTAAAATTTTATTCTTTATTCAACTATTTGACTAGGTCATTTATAATAATGAACTCAATTATATAAATGACCTCTATATTCATTTCAATAATAATAATAATAATAATAATAATAATAATAATAATAATAATAGTAATACTACTACTACTACTACTAATAATAATAATATATGTATTTTGGCAAATAGTAAAAATAATTTTTAATTTGTTTATTATTATTATTATGATAAACATTTTAATTGTTTTTATTTAAATATTTCATTCATTAATAATTTTACTACTTAATTAATCATAATTTTATAATAATCCAGAGGTATTAGATTTGGTTAATTTAATCTAAATGATACTGTTTATTGATGAGTTGATGTTGGTTGGTTAGCGTGTTTTAGCGAGTTCGTTTTCTACGGGATGGGGTCGCTAACCCCATACCCAACCCTCCTCCTTTATCTGGGCTTGCGACCGGCAGTAGCCCCCGGAGGGGTTCAAGGCAGGATTAACCGTCACGGTTTTACTCTTGTGATTTGTTGCATGGTAAGAACCGTCGACCAAGAATCGAAGTTTTCTTTGGCAGCCGTACACACGATACTGTTTATTACATAATATTTAGTAAGTGAATGATTCTTATTTTAAGCTTTATGAAAACTATGATACAGTTGGTTAATAGGTTAAGCCTATATAACTTGTTCTAGCTACTGGACAGGACGATCAATACATTCTTCTTGAGTCATGTTATGATCTTGTTATTTATTGCCTTATCAATTCTGATTGTTATTATATGAGCGTATGTGTGTGTGTGCTCTTCTTATCCTATGCATCACATGTCTGTAACATATTCTTTTGTTCGTCTATACACATTGATTAATGCTTGATGAAATCGAGTTGGCTCACATGAATTCTTCACTGAGTATCAGTTCGTTTCGCTTTGTTCCTTTTGTCCAGATCAATGTGTGTACAAAAAAATACGTATTCAAAAGTTCATTTACGTATTTGTACCAAAACACATATATTCTTCCGTTGATTGTGACCTCGCATGAATTCGGTTACGCTCAGTGACCACACATGTACTCCTTTGACACGATCTCTGTATTCTTTCGACACCACGAGATCGCCAACAAATACATCTCGACTGCAACCATCAACGGCCTTCTGATATTTCGCTTACAGGGGATCTCATCGGTTAACTGGCACGTAGTCTTCCTGTAGTGATGATCATAGTCAACCGCGACTCGACGCCGCATTACAGTTTAATCAATTCAATAGTCATAAATGATGTTTGTTAAATCGTTGAAATGATATTTTGATTGTAGTTAGTCTTCTGACCCTTGATCTGTTGTTTAACAATTTTCAAACAACATTCTGAATTTCTGAGTTTGTATAATATACAGTTTAGGTTTGTAATGTCAGTTCGTGATGAAAACCCCAAATCTAATTCATAACCTTAACTCCGCCTGGAGTCCCTCCGGGGGCTAGTGCCGGTCCCAAGCCCGGATAAAGGAGGAGGGTTGGGCATGGGGTTAGCGTCCCCATCCCGTAGAAAACTAACTCGCTAAAAAAACGCTAACCAGAAAAAATTATTCAAATTCATAACCTTAATTATAAACTATAAATCATAATTACGATTCCTCAAATTGGTTTATAAACCGCATTTAGTCCTCGTTAGTAGGTGGACATTTTCAAGGTCGTCTTAGTGTTGTTCAAAGGTCATCCATAAATTATAATCTTACCCAAATTATCTTGATTTTCTTAACCCCATTCTTCAAATATTTAGATTATTTATACTATTAAGGGATTAAACTTATTGTTCAGTCTTGATGCTTAAAATGCAACTTATATTCAGTGTGGACCTTGTTCAATATTGATATTTCTTGAATTTGTTTATACTTCAAGAAGTGTAGTTTTATGAAAGTCTAGAAATCGATTACAAATTCAATTTCATATATATTTGTTGAATTCAGTTTATTAATTATGATTGTATTTCCAGGCGGCCTGTATGGATATCTGAGCTACCTGTTCCTGCCATTTGGATATTTCAATAAGTTATCTGTTATTTTGTTTGTTTTAAAACATCATTATACCCATTAGTGTCATTGAGTCTCTACATTCTCAACATGATATTTCTTGTATATTAAGATTGACACTTTTACAGATCAAAAATTAAGAACTGCTCTTTCAATGTTAATGTTTCATGGAATGAATGTAACGATTGTTATTTAGCTTTTCATTGCATTATTATTACAAATGTGTTAAAGAATAAGTTGCAGATGATTTCTGATATAATACTTTCGTTGTTATATTGTTGTTTATATTGAATAATCGTAAATGAAATAATTATGTGCGTTGGTGAACGATAACTTTTGTAAGTTACAGTTTTTAAGTGACACTAGTCTAGCAGCAACCTCTGAATCAGTGGACCTCAATATATACAAAGAAAAACTCAAGATCCTCAAATACAACACAGAAAACACCAACCAAACCAATCACACTTAAAAGAGAAACAGTGGAACAGGTGGAAAGTTTCAGTACATGATATGGTCTGCATCATCGATGAACAAGAAGGATTCGTTGCAGGGGTAAGGGCAAGTGTTGGCAAAGCAAGATCCTCATCCCTACAATTGAAGAACATATGGAACTCCAAACATTTACTAACCAATATCAAAATCATAATCTTCAATATGTGAGTCGAGACAGTTCTACTGTAGTGTCAGTTATTATGTTAAGCCTATATACCATATGCCAATCTATTCATTCTAAATGAGTCATATTTTGACCTTCTTAATTATTCGCCTATCAACCTTGACTGTTTTTATATGAGCGTGTACATGTGTGTACACTTTTTATCTTATTCATCACGTGTCTGTAGCCTATTGTTGTGTGACCATGAACACTGATTAACTCTTGGCTAAATGAAGTTTGCTTACTCGCCATCTCCACTGGGCATCGTTTCGCTTCTCTTTATTCCATTCGTTTCCTATATAAATATATGTATTCACTGCGTTATTGACTAAAGCGATTTAAGTCAATGATTATATACGAGGATAGGAGATATATACATTTCGACAGCAATTATTCAATAGCAATCGTTCATACGATCTACTTGGAGTCAGATCCTGGGCCACTGAATTGGAGAGCCCCTCGTCAACATCGTCCGATGTAAATGATGACAAAATAAAGAGCCTCACTAGATTACTGTACGGAGGTAAAACTTGGAGAACTACCACAACCATTATCAAGAAGGTACAAGTATTTATAAATAAATGTCTACGCAAGATACTCAAGGTCCATTGACTGGATACCATCAGCAACACCCTACTGTGGGAGACAACGAACCAGCTTCCAAATGGAGAACAAATTAGGAGAACACATTGGAAGTGGATAAGATATACATTAGGGAAACAATTAAATTGCGTCACAAGGCAAGCCAATAACTTGCAATCCTGAAGGGAAGCGGAAAAGAGGAAGACCGAAAAGAAAACTGCGTCGGGCATTGAAATCAGATATGAAAAGGATGAATAACAACTGGAAAGAGCTGGAAAGGTTAACCCAGGACAGTGTTGGATGGAGAGTGCTGGTGGGCAGCCCACGCTCCTCGACGAAGAGTAACAAGTGTAAGTAAATAAATGGTTTTCGTTAAGATGTTTGTGATAAATGCTTTTCTCAGATAAAACCAACAAGTTATCCATATAATTTAATAAGAGAAATTCATTAACTATTTATTATTGTTATCATCACCTTTATTGAATATTATATTTTTGGTACAAAATAGAATTCTCAGCATAAATTATTTCAATAAATTTCTGTTTCTTTCTTCTTGATCGGTCCTGGTGATAAATATTGAGTGATCGCCAGTTAGATGTTAGCAGTTCAGTAAATGAACATCTCAATAATGTATATTCTTTTCTTTGCATATTGCCAGCGACCACATTATCTCTTATTGGGCTTTTTGTAACTTTGACAACGAAAGGTTGTACACTTTTCAGAAATGCACCAGGATAGGTTATGCGATTGATAAACATAATGATATATTAAAACAAACAAAAAATAGATAACTTGTTGAAATACCTAGATGGCAGGAACAGGTAGCCCAGATGCTCAAACAGGCCGCCCTATGTTTCTAACTCTCTTTTCTTTAATTCTGTTATGTATATTCATGCTACTTTGAAATAATTTTTTTATGTAATGGTCAATCTACTATGAAAACTCTTTTCAAACTTTACAAATCTCTTGAATTCATTTGGTCCAACTAAATCTATTCGTCAATGAAGTAGAACCAAGATCAATCTTTTTCTTTTTGAAAAACTAAGAAGGACAATACTAAGGTGAATTTCTATCCCTGTCGTTTAAACAGCAGTTATTCATCGGATTATATTTGTATAGTTTTCTTCAAATTAGTATCATGTATTTGTTCATACTATTGAGAAATATGACAATCAAAATATCAAACAAAATCTTTACAATTTTCAATTTATTTCTAATAATCAATCAATCAGTCAATTATTCAAATCTATGGAATATCTAGATAATCCAGATCGTCTAGATATTATTAATACAGATCAACATTATACTTGGTTATATGACTGTCTGTCATGATCAAGAGTTAATAATAATGATAATTCACTATAACATCTTACTTTCTATTCAATTTGGTTAAGTGGATCCTTGTCAGACACGATTATCAAACCTATACTAAAGGGAACTAAATGGTAACATTATACACATGATGTGAGTTATTGTATCATCGTCATCATCATCATCAAACGACATCATATGAATGTAATGACAAATATAACAGTCATATTAATGAATGATGTTTGTTTGGTTTTTCATAAATCTATTTCATTCATATTATACTTGTGTATAGATAAGTGTTGTGAACAGGTAACCAACATGTTACTATGGTCTATTCTATATAAGAATTAAGTTAATTTGTTTATATGATATAGACACTATATAAATGGTTGATTATTATTATTATTATCAATATGGAAAAGGTGCTAGATGTTTAATTTTTTTGACATAATTAAAACTATTCAATATCCTGTTAAAGTTTTATAAAATTCTTTATTTTGTATTGAATTCAATAATGATATTAAAGGTGAATCATTAAACTATCTAACTATTTAGATCGGATCAAAATTTGAGATCATCCTTGATAATCTATATGTCGAGAACTGATATTTATTTGCTTAATTATCATTCATTTTGAATAATAGTTCTGTAGTAACCTACTTTAATTAAGAGAACGCGATTGGTGGAAACAATTTGAGGACTATGTTACTAATGTTACAGAAAAACAGTCACAAAAAGCTAAACGTAAACACTTGGAAACATTGCAACACGTAGACGTGACTAAAAAGTTTCCAGAACATCCAGAAAAGTATGTATTTAATCATTCTTCTATTAAACTTTCGCCAGTCCAAATGCAGGCCTTATCATTGGGTCCCAAGTTCTGTAACAGCACCTCCAAAACCAGTAGACTTCATACGCAAATACAATTCGAAAATCTATCAAATCAAACTCATGATCTTATGCCGACATCTCCACAAAATCTCCAGCACTTTAAGTCCACATTACTGGACTGTAGTCATGGATTCGTTAATGCACATTGTAGTAAGAATAACCTATTAACTAAGAACCACTTGGATCAGCTAATACTGTTGAAAAGAAATAAGGATTTAATCCTAAGTAAACCTGACAAAGGAGCTGGTGTAGTACTACTTGACCGCAAAGAATATTTGGATAAAATGAAGTTAATTCTAGAGGATGGTACTAAATTCTCCAAACCTAAAGAAGTTGACAAAACATTACAAATGGAAAAACAGCTAACAGATGTTGTTAAAAATCTTAAGAATAAGGGGATAATAACCCAAGATTTATATAATCACATGCGTCCCATGGGTTCAGTCATCCCGCGCTTATATGGACTACCGAAAATACATAAGCTGGGTTTACCGTTACGACCTATTTTGGACATGTCAAGTTCTCCATACCACAGAATCGCCAAATGGTTAGCGGAAAAATTGGAACCGGTTAGAAGGCAAGTATGTAAACATTCTATTCATGATACTTTTCAATTTATTGATCGTATTAAGGACGTTAATGCTTCCGAAAAACACATGTTCTCGCTTGACGTTAATTCTTTGTTCACTAGCGTACCTTTAACCGAAACAATATGTTATTTATGTGAGTATATTGATTCTAACAATATAGATCTAGGTTTGCCAACTGAACATTTGAAAGAATTATTGTTACGCTGTACTTTTAATGTCCAGTTCAGTTTCAATAATGAAATATATAGACAAAGGGATGGGATCGCAATGGGGTCTCCATTGGGTCCAATTTTAGCAGACTGTTTCATGGCAAAAGTAGAAAACGACCAACTCCGTTCAATGATCAATCGATTCCACCTGTACGTGAGATACATGGACGACACGTTTGTTGTTTGTGACAATAATATTGATTTAGATGATATTCTACATACCTTTAACTCGTGCCACCCTTCCATAAACTTCACGTTAGAAAGGGAACAAGACCAATCAATTCCTTTTCTCGATGTACGTCTGATGAGAACGAGTAATGGTTCTTTAAAAAGATCCATCTTTAGAAAGCAAACATGGAATGGCCAGCTAACCAACTTCTATAGCTGGGTTCCGTTAAGTAGGAAGAGAAACCTTATCCATTCTTTATGCCATCGCATACATCACATATGCAGTACGGAATGCATTAACGAAGAACTCGCATTCCTGAAGAAGACTTTGACGGAAAATGGTTACCCAGAACGGTTCATAGAAAAGAATATGAATAAAAGTAGTCGCGAGAAGAATTCTAGTTGTTCCGTTCCAAAGAAAAACCTTTATATAAGTCTGGAATTTAAAGGTGACCGAACATCGGACGGAATCAAAAACCGTCTAACAACAACTATTAGGAGAACATTTAACGCGGCAAAACTGCGAATATCCTTCACTAGTAGAAACTTATTTTCTGTATCCATAAAAGATAAGCTTCCGCGTCTGGTCGCCTCCATGTGCATCTACCAGTTCACCTGCTCTTGTGGAGCAAGGTACATTGGCCGTAGCCAGCGCTCGCTTTCAACTCGGATACGAGAACATATTCCAGCCTGGTTCTATAAGGGTGAAAGGAAAGCAGTTAGGAGTTCTATTCTTGAACACCTAATTGACTATAACCATTCAACAGATCCACAAATTGATTTTAAGGTTGTTTATATGATTCGTTCAAATCTACCCAGATTTCTTCGTATACAACTTTTAAAAATAGCCGAAGCTCTTGCCATCCAGGAGCTTAAACCAGAACTATGCGTACAAAAGAAGTACGTCTTATCGTTATCGTTACCTTGGCCTTAAGCATTTTGATTATCTTACTATTAATGTTATTATTATTATTATTATTATTATTATTATTATTATCATTATTACTGCATTCCCCCCTTTACTTATGTCTTATATTCTCATTGTTTTATTCATGAACGCTCATCATATCAATTATTATTATAACCAATTGTACCAGGGATTGTTTTACTGTACTTGTTTATTTAACTGTATCAAAACACATATATTCTTCCGTTGATTGTGACCTCGCATGAATTCGGTTACGCTCAGTGACCACACATGTACTCCTTTGACACGATCTCTGTATTCTTTCGACACCACGAGATCGCCAACAAATACATCTCGACTGCAACCATCAACGGCCTTCTGATATTTCGCTTACAGGGGATCTCATCGGTTAACTGGCACGTAGTCTTCCTGTAGTGATGATCATAGTCAACCGCGACTCGACGCCGCATTACAGTTTAATCAATTCAATAGTGATAAATGATGTTTGTTAAGTCGTTGAAATGATATTTTGATTGTAGTTAGTCTTCTGACCCTTGATCTGTTGTTTAACAATTTTCAAACAACATTCTGAATTTCTGAGTTTGTATAATATACAGTTTAGGTTTGTAATATAAACTCAAATTAAACAATCATATTCATCTTCGTACTGTAGTGTCAGTGACTATGTTAAACCCATTTAACTTATTCTAACTTCTGGACGGATCAATTTATTCATCGCTCTTAAGCTACATTTCAACCTTGTTAATTATTCAGTTATTAACTAGCATATCTGTGTATACATTTCTTCTCCGTATATCGAGTTGTCGCACATGCATTCTTCAATCTGCTTCGTTATTCCCTCTTTATTTTGTCTACCTGAATGTCTGATCAAATCACTGAGTGCGTGAAAAATACATATTTAAAATTCATTCTCGTATTCAGCTTATACAATTCCGTTATATTCACTAACACGGATTAAGTCGAAAATTATTTACTAAGATAGGTATGTATAAATTCACTTGATGTTGTTTTACTTGTATCTTCCCATTGTTATTTAGGACTGCAATCGATCATTCTGATGTTGGCATATGTGCATCCTGTGCGGATTGCCTATCAAAACTCTGTAGCTAAGTGGATAAAGTGATGGCGTTTGAAGCGAACGGTACTGGGTTCGAGTCTCGGAGTGAACGTCAGCTCTGTAATGCAGACACATCCAGTTGACGAGTCCCGAATAAGACAAAACGCGCGTCCTGGATTCCACTATTGGCCACAATTCATCTTTACATAGATACGTATAGTTTAACAGTAATCATTCAATAACATTCATACGATCCAATTGAAGTCAGATAAGGGGCCACTAAAGTATACTGAATACAGATCAAAAAGTTACAGAATAATTAGCATAACACACCTGTCAATGATAAAGAAATCATGAGAATACAGAAAAAAAGTCTAACTGCTCTTTGAGATGATGAAGAGATTAGAAATATACTCATTGACGTTTTTGTAAGAGATTGGGATTAACAATGACATACAATCTGATCACACATAACATACTTGTTAAGTCAACTAGAAGAGAAATGGGTAGTAAGAGGAGACATGAATAATAAAGAACATAATAATGTTCGAACTCATCACTGGATAATAATGGGCTATTAATATCAGGGTGGGTTTATGGGTGAGAACAAACTGTTTTCTTTTTGAATACACAAAGGGGGTTTGAATTTTCGCATGGCTAAGGCTTCATTGAACTTTAGTATACGCCCTTTTACACTTTTATACAACACCACAGAAGCCGAGTTAAGATCAGTCTTTTGTGTTATGTTATGCGTTTGGCAATAGAGGATGATGGATGTTTATCCCCTACTCTTATTGGGTTATTTGATTCTATTTGTTCCTGCAACCATTTAGGTACATGTTCACAAATCTGATTTTGAGATCACGATTACTCCTCCTATTTAAATTGGTAAACACAATGAGATATGATGCGATCGTTTTCTTGTCTTTTAGGTTTTCGATGAAACATGAACTTTGTTGTTACTTTGATAATGACCTTTGATGCACAATATATCTTGTTAATGATTGATTTAAGTCTTTGTTTCAATAAAAGGCTATTTGAATCACCTCTAAATGGTAAGGTGATGTACACAAGCTTTTTTTCTGCCAAAGCTATAGTAAGTCTCACTGTACCATGAACTATCTATCTATTTATGAACTTAAGGGGATAACTATTTTTCATTATTATTTTCTTTTAACAACGTAAAATCACCATCAATAGCGTCATTTGTACAAGCCTGTTGAATATGCACCTTATCAAACCCCGGTTGTATTGCACAGGGCAATAACTATAATAAGTAAGGTATTGACCTGTCTACGTTGGTTTTCTAAAAATGGATCGTTTGTTTGAGCCATCTTCTCATCTACTTAGAAGTATGTCTAGGAAAGGACTCACGTTATTTATTTCAAATATATACAGGATATCATTATGATTTCTATAAGCCAATGAACAACTAAACTATAAACATGCAATATATTACGAAGTATTAGATATTTATCGTTTAATACCACGAATTGAATGAAGTTAGCTATGTGAACTTAAAAGTCATAAATTAGTGGTTTGAAGATAGTATATTCGTTACTAGATCTAAAGGTTTAATGTTTAATCTGTGGATTGGTTTCGGTGCACTGAACTCATGAATTCAACTATTAAATTACTATAATCTCCACAAAACCTCATTTCTGATAAGAACCACTTATTTCTTGATATGATCACGAAGAAGTATGTTGAGTGTATGTGTGTGTGTGGGTGGTTGGGAATGATATTTACGTTCAAAATATTTCAACCATAGACATTTAATCATTCAGTTTAAATCAGATTTATTGTAATTTAGAACATGAATTTTATAAATTTCACAAGTTAGAACTGACCCAAAATTGAACTAGATAAAAATAATCCTTCATTCACTAATTAATCAGTCTTGATGATTGAATATTTTGAATACAATATACAATCTGTGGTAGAACTTGCGGTCTGCACGAATATTTGGGTTACCTGTCTCTACCATCTAGATATTTTAACAAGCTATCTGTTCTTTTGTTTGTTATAACACATCATTATGCCCATTAGTCTCATAACTTATTCAGGAGCGTTTGTGAGAAGTATAGGACATTTCGCTTTACAAGTTAGGAAAGAGCCCAATCTGAGACATCATGGTTGCTAACAATATGCATCAAAAATAGAATGTACATTATTCAGATGTTGATTCATGAACTGCCAACATCTAACTGACGACCATTCAATATTTACCGTCATGATCGATCAAGAAGTAAGAAACGGAAGCTTGTTAAAATACTTTATGCTGAGGATTTTATATTGTATTATTAGATAAAGCCACTAATAATAATGATAATAATAATAACAATAATGATAATAATAACCATTGCACACATTTTAACAGATATGACGAGCAGAGTTAGAAAAATACATCTGTATCTGTATATCATCATGTTACAACCAATGTTAGGTCTTCATGGTTTTCAGTACTGAACAAATTCCACCAGTCTTAATATGAATTCAATTCTATTATCAATACTTCGAAACTGTATCATCATTTATTTAGTGTTTAGTCTTTGGAAACAAATTGGGAGAAAGCATAATATCGGGTTAAGTTATTTAAATGACTTAGCCATAACCAGTATCACATATTGTCAGGTTTTTAGTTTTTCTATCGAATTCCAAGTTCAACGTTTATTGCTTATCGAAACTAACCACCCAAAGCCAAATGAATTTCATGTCAATGTTAATTTACTGAGAATAGTTGCCATATTGCCATGCAACTTGTTGAAATCAATTAACATTAGAAGATAGATGATTTGAGAATGGTTACTACTAAATAACTTATTAGTGTACTAGTCTCAATCCTAAATTAGGTTAGTTGTCGTTCATAAATCCTAGTAATATTATCTTTGACTGAGACATTTCGTGATACTTTTTCGAACTACATATGGGCATCTGTTGCAGTAGCAACCATCATGAAACCCAAGTTTTCATCACCATGTTGATTGTCTTTAGCTACTTTAAATCAAATCAAAGTAGCACTGGCAACAAGATATAAGCTGATAGCTTGTAGTTTATATAACAGCCAACCTACTGCCAAACCTATGAGATATTAATGTCAAATTGGGTTTTTTTATTAAAATTAGTGAGGTCTTTTTAATTATTGAAATCACGAGTCGATTGAAGCTGAACCACCATGAAAACCTGGAAGCTCTGGACGGCCGTTTCGTCTTATCGTGGGACTTCTCAGCAGTGCGCAGCCACCATCCTGCCCCGTAAGATCCGAACCCAGGACCTATCAGTCTCGTGCGCGAGCGCCTAACCACTAGATCACTGAGCCGGTCAGCATCCAGCGGTGTAATTGTCTAACTTCAACCAATCCACGAAGTCGTGTCATCGTCCAATATTGTCATCAGTGAGTTGATATCTCATAAATGAGGTTTGCTGAAATTCATTCTAACCAATGAATTTTAATGGAACACTATTTATTACAAACATTTTATAATAATAATAATTATTATTATTAATAGTGATAGCAGAAAAGCAGTGATAAAACAGATCCATGACAATGTGAATAAATACACTATAAAAAAAATCATTTTTTGGTCAATTTTATGGATCAAAACTGACCTCAAAAGTAAAAGTAAATCATGAAGAGTGTCATAGCAACAACTTTTTCGAGAGAAAGAGAGAGAGAGAAAACTTTAATGAAGCGTTACTTTTGAAATAAATGGTAAACAATAAACTTAAATAGTGAAAGGCGGAAAGATTATATTTCTTATTTAATATCGGAATAAAGATTTAATTATACATGAATAACATTTTGATAGTTAAAAAGCAAAAAACACCAAAAGAACATTCTATAATTGTCTCATTCTACAATAAATAGTGTGAAATATTGTTTAAACCTTTAAGATTGCATTAATTCTCTTTGAACATGTTACTTCCTCGTTACTATCATAGTTATCATATTAAGCGTAAATATGATCAATTTTGACGGTCATATGAAAAGGGCTTAATGAGATATTGATAACAGTAATAGGGTAAGATAGGAATGATAATTCTGATGATGTAATTGTAAATAAGCAGAAAGCCTTATGAAATAAATGAAGATTAGACGCAATTGATGATCGTTTTAATGTGAATCAACAATATGACGTTGCGCTCCAAAGCTCATGCCAGATTGTGAAGCCACTTGATCTTTACCTGCGCCCATTTGTAAGCTAATGACACCTTGACCTTCTTTTGACATATCACCAACTTTAATATCTGCAATATGTCTCTGACCACCATGACTCATTCCAGCTTGACTAGCACCTTTGTTCGAACCCATCTGAAGACCGATTATACCCTGACCTTCTTTTGACATATCACCAACTTTGATATCTGCAATATGTCTCTGACCACCATGACTCATTCCAGCTTGAGTAGCACCTTTGTTTGAGCCCATCTGGAGACCGATAACACCTTGACCTTCTTTTGAAGTAGCATCCACTTTAATATCTGTGATATGTCGAGGTCCACCATGACTCATTCCAGCTTGAGTAGCACCTTTGTTTGAGCCCATCTGGAGACCAATAACACCCTGGCCTTCTTTTGAAGCAGCATCCACTTTAATATCTGTAATATGTCGAGGTCCCCCATGACTCATTCCGGCTTGGCTAGCACATTTATTAGTTCCAGCTTGCAAACCAATTATGCCTTCGGATGCTCTAAGTTGTTCTTCAGTGAACTCACGTTTATTTTCATAAGTTGGCTTGGGGCCACATACGGGTCCATTAAAATTGTTACGTTGACACTATTTGAGAAGAAGAAATATTTCCCTCAAGCATTATAGAATATTAAACAGTAATTATTAAAGATCTTATGAACACTATAACATTCATTTGATATGAAACAGTTTGCATCTGAATACAAAATTACTGATTATGAAAAAAATTTAGTATCCTCAATCAAGATTCGAGACAAAATTCCCACCTAATTCTGTCTCTCTTACTATCGTTGTTAATCAGTAGGAATATAAAACTATGTTAGAATGTATAAAGTATTTGGAGGTAAGAATTCCAAGCAGTTCTCCATAATGACATAGCCAGTAGACTTGTAACGGTTATTCGAACAAAGCTGTTTGAATTGCGATCTCTGATTCATCAAAATCAGACTTGTCTGAATCAAACACCTAATATTCTAGGCATCTAGGCATCCTAAACCATTTAATGCAAATACGGATAGTTACCGACTGAATATATGGATCTCGGGCCGAAATGGCGTCAACTCCAAACTTTATATCACATGTTACCTCAACTATCCTTTAAGCACCTTCTCCAGCTCCGCTGATGTAAGGATCCCCACCTGTTATAAATAACAAGTAAGTGTTTTGTGACACGCATTTATAGACAGAAAATATCTTGTAATAAGACCCATTCTTAAATATGGATTCATTTTTCATCATGACTTTGTGGTAAATTAAAATATCTCTGATTATCCTAAACATGTTTTATGTTTTCATCCTTTATCTACTTATGGCTAATTAAGTAGTTTAAATATATTCCAAACATTTTGGAATCATATCTTAGTTGCTCGACGGTTGATGTAGATTTCTAATGTAAACGATCTTCCAATGTTAGTTTATTTAAAAGCTTTGAAAATGTGGAAAAAAATGTTTGCCTCCAATTAGCGTCTGTTCAAGAACCGTTGAGTGATTGTAAGACTCAGCCATACAATTTATTATGCTCCTGAATGTTATCAACACATTCATATAATATATCACAATTTGCGCACGGAAAATAAAATAAACATAACTCCTTTTTGTACACAATTAGGCTAACATTATCTATAACGACCAACGTTGAAGAGACAATAAAACTTGGTGGTTGGTGTGTACTGAGAATTAAAAGATGGTTTGGTTCAAGTCCTTATGCTATTAGTATCGCCTCAAATTAGATGTGAAACTAACATAATTTGATATGGCTTTATCTCTGAATAATATGGGTAGTTTCTATTTTCGGTATACAACTAAATTGAATGAAAGAATTTCTGTAGACCACAAATTGATGACTTTGGTTGAACATAACATTAGTCAATGAGAACGCGCGTTTCGTCCTATTTGGGACTCGTCAACTGGATGTACATGCATCACGGTGTTGATGTTCACACAGGGACTCGAACCCAGTACCGTTCGCTTCAAATGTCATGGCCTTATCCACTTATCTACTGAGTACTGATAGCCACCTACTTGTGCAGTGGGATGAAGTTTAAATTCCCCTGGTATTGTTTGCTTGTATCTTCCCATTGTTGCTTAGGATTGCAATCGATCTGCAATACTATCGTTCGGCCAAATAAGATTTTTGATAAATAGTTTGACTCAATTTATACTTAATTTCATGGTTAATAAATGAGATACAACAAATAATTATAAAAATAAAATATGTATGTTAGCGGGATGTAGATTGGATTAAAGCACATTCCGTGCACGATTGTGTTGGTACACTGACTGGCTATTTCTTATCCAATCAGCGCTAGTGAATACTTGGAGAAGACTCTAGAGTTTTCTCGTGTAAAAACTATAAATATACTAACGTTTTTTCTTATTCTGCTCCTTACTTCCATTTATTCTGGTTATTTGAAATGTAATTTCATTCCTGTTTAACCGTATTCTGATTTGGCGACTTATAGAGTGAATTCTTGTCCAAAAATAGTATGCAATAGGAATAGCTGAGTCGTAATAAGAAAAAATTATAACAATGTAATTATTCACTAAACTAACCTCAGTTCCAAGTTGTAGTAATGTATTTAAAACTTGTGGCATATTGCGTAATTCATACAAATCAACGGTTTGAAATAAACTAGCTCGGGGTACTCCATAGGCTACTGCTGCATTAAGAAAAGTTTGAATATTTTCCATCTAAAATAATTGCACAGAAATAACAGTATACATAGTCTACAAAGAATATGAGTTAGGCAACAATTGCTCCTTTATTAACTTTGTTTCTTTCACCAATAACTCAGACAAGTACGAATCTGAAGGAAATAATAGTGCTGACGAAGTCAATCTACAAATCTCAATCTTTTTCATGTCTAATCTTAATTACAACCTAGTTTTCAGTATAATTTGACCTTCAAATATAGTATTCAATCATAACAGAAATTCTGTTTTTCGTTTCGCTCGTTTCATTAGATGACACAGTTCCGAATTTAAGTACATCATCTTATGCTACAGAAGTAAAATCAATTCATCAGTTTAATGGAAGCGTTTTTGTTAAATCTCATTTGCCACTCATCGGCACACTTAAGAAACATATACCCAAACAATCAGATTCAAAATTGTACACAGAAACCAGAGATGATGGCAGACAGACCCTTTCAAATCTGCTCGCCGTTCTGCTTCAACGACCTTGAACGGCCTCACAAGAGGCCGTCATTCCGTATTTCAAGTACTGTGGGTGTTGTTGTGAGCAACAAATACGCCATACTACCAATAAACTGGAATAAAAGCTGTGTAACAAGCACAAATATTATGCAAATTGAAGTGTGACGGAAAACATATTGCTAATAGCTGATAAATAACGATATCCCAAAATCCTGGACAATATGTAACATGTGCGAGAAAACCTATGGCTTAACGTCCTGACCATGCCGATATGTTTTATGATGTAAATAAATTTCCCATTGAAATGAAGAATAGTTTTAGGATGAAAGAAGAGACCAACAAAATAAACTCTGGGCAACATTCATACGTTCTATTGTCCTATTCTGCTTATTTTAATGATCCAGTCATGCCAAAGTTGAAAATAAGTTAGCGAAAAATATTTCAAGCTCAATTCAATGGGAAAGTACCATGCAACAATGAACTGGGATCCGGCAATCATAAAAATAAGTTCATAGATAGTTTTGAAGCCATCATCAATTCAGATCTAACCACCAAATGTCACCCGAGGTTCCCAGAAAGTTTTTTAACTCCAAGTTCATTACTCTCAGTTTTATTCTTATAATATTCAGCTGAGTCTACAATATGTGGCTGCTCACATTATTACAAATCAGTTCATAAGAGAAGTTTTCAATTTGAGGAGGAGGGAGGAAGTGATAATAAAAACTTATGCTTAATTAGCGATCGGATGATAACAGATAAATATCTGAAATATAACGCTGATAGTGGAGTTTTCTGAGCTGGATGGTTTGATCGTGAACTAAAACAAAACTTCATCAAAATCATCCATATGAGCTACAAATCTTCTCCACCATTTCAAAATCATATGAGCGTAATACGCTTCTCGTTGTTCAAAAATGGGAGAATTTCGCTAAAAGACAGGCTTCTACTCGAGATTAACTGTATTTTCTCCACGAGTGTCTTCCTCACCATGTTCTATCAACAAGTGCAAGATACAGACCTCCAATCAACTACCCATTGGAATGGAGAATATCTGAGCGAAGTGGGAGAAAGATGATACACCTAATGATAACGAATCCACATTATAAGATCCTCAAATAAACACGACCAAAACCATCCAGCTCAGAGAATAAAACTCTATCAAAAGTAAAAAAAGTTTCTTTTTATAGACCACTAGACATTACGTAATTTTAATATTATTATTCGTTCTCAACCTACGATTCTACTTACCTGTTTAAAGGGAGCGGTCATTGTATTAGCTTTGAATGGTCTTTTCATTTTAGCTGCAGCCGATGGAAGAGATGCAGTACCATCAAACACGACATTAATCAACCTATTTATTGGATGACATAGGGATTCATTCAAGTGAAATTTTATTTAACAAATAAACAAAATAATATAATAAAAAGCAACCAATAACGTTAGAAGTAAATTTTTGCAACTGAATCATACTGTTATTACTCAGATCGCTTTAAAATAAGGGTAGTATTCTTATTGTTGTGTATGCTGAAAACTTTATTTACACTGAACTTTACATAGATCATAACATGCTCATCATCTTGATATGACGATTGTTTGTCCGGTTGGCATTTCAAACACACTTTCTTGTAAGATGGTGGTTGCAAGTAGTCTACAGGGAAATGTGAACCTAGAAAATCACTACCTTCCATCTTAACATTGTGAACGCAATATCGAGTCACTTGGACTAGTAAGCTGATTGAAAGTTGGTTGATAAAATTCGACCAGCATTAAGAACGACTTGACACGCATGATATTGGTCAATAGCCAGTAATCAATCAATAGTAAACATACTTTTATATCAACTACATATCAAACTACCTATAAAGTAACAACGGTGTTATTATGTGGTTGGGTTCGACTCGTGAGTGCGGGATCGCGGATGAGCACTGATGGGGAGTCCCATGCAAGTACGAGATGGTCACAAAGTTATTCCACATTTGCAAGAGTGGTCTTACATTGATCGGCTCATGATCTCAATGAAATAGTGACAAGGAATAACGACTACAATCCCTGTGATCATCGGGAAATTATGACTAAAATGTACTATGAACGTAAACTTCAAATTCAATGGTGAAATGTATCGACAAGCAGAAGGTGTCGCGATGAGTTCACCCCTAAATACCATATTGGTTGAAATTTTCCTCACTAAACCAGAAAATGGTGAACTGGCACGGCAGACTGACAAGTTTTTGTTTTACTGCGGATATATAGACGATACGTTCATTCTTTGTGAACTCGAGCGATTTAATGAAGTTCATCCGTTCATAAAATTCACATGTGAGGAAGAAGATAGAGGTAGAATAGCCTTTCTTGATGTTCTGCTGGCAAGACGTAAAGATGGGCCATTAAGAAGAAACATAAAAAAACTACTTGGACCATCCAATACACAAGTTTTCTTAGTTTTGTTCCTCTACAATAGAAAAGGAACCTGATTAAGACATATAACTATAGGATCAAGACCGTATTCTTCCTAGATGCTGTTGAAGACGAAACAAACGGATTGTATACAACCCTGAAAGAAAATCGATATTCGGAGCTATTTAAAAATAAACATTTGACCAATAAGGAATGCCTAACTGCGAGCGGAAAGCCTCTGTATATGCGATTACAATTTTGAGGTAATGCACCCAATGAAATGCTAAGTCCAAAGTTACACAGAGCAATCCAAAGAACATTTATTGCAGATAAACTACATTCCTTTTTTTCTACACCTCAGATGATCACACCGAGGTTGAAAGATAAATTACCTAAACTAGCCACTACTCCTGCGGAGCAAGTTATATTGGTAGGTGTTCTAAGATTTTTTTCAGGTTTGCGAGCACCTCTCAGTGTGTTTAGGCAAAGGTGTAGTTAAAACTGTTAACAACTACATTTTAGTTCATTTAGTACAAAAACGCCATACAACCAATACGAAGCAATCCTTCACAATAAAATATCGTGTTAACAGAAGTCTGCCTAAATTCGTCAGATGTAGAATCCTGAAGACTGCTGAAACAATCGCTATACGTATCAAAAAGCCAAAGCTTTGTATCGAAAACAAATATGTTAAACAGTTTCTTTTACTGTAACCAACTTCGGGTCTTATTAGTTAGTAATCAATTTTATCACATGGTAACGCAATTTGACCAATGTTCATTATTACGCTAGCTAACAATTTTTGGAAAATTTATACAGCATCCATCTCTATCTACTATATCTGACCTAATTCACATTATTCTGCATATTTCGTAAGTTCTCATTTTTAATTACATTATTCTCTCTCTCTCACCCCATTTTTACCAAATTTGTTCTGATTATTTATCTCACAATTTCATTTCACTTATAAACTGATTCAAGTTAACACTTCATATTAGTCAGCCCCAACATGAACGATTTTTATATGGCAAACAACAATCCTTGATTCATATGTAATGATTTTAAGTGACATACTCCACCTGGATCCCCTCTGGGTCTCAAATTCGGATAAAGGAGGAGGGTTGGGCATAGAGTTAGTGACCTCATCCCGTAGAAAACTAACTCTCTAAAAAACTCTACTTTGCATTAAACCTGGCCAATTTTATAGATTATTCATTTGGATATGTAATTGTAGAAGCTGATGAGAACAAAAACAGAATTGCTTAAATGAGCTGAATAGTATTGAGTACAGAGAAACAACTCTTAAAGAAACTACAATATTCAGCCAACAGTTGATTCCAGTCTTCGGTGAAACTACCAAAGTTTGTAATAAAAATTCTGACAAAGATTTTAATTATTAACAGTACTTTTAACTGATATCTTCTGTTTTAATTTTCTCAAGAAAATGTTCAGATTTACTTGATTAATATCTGTCCATTTTTCAAAGCAGCCGCAACATTTTCTCTGCCAAATGGTACATTTTCGTTTGTTAATTGATTTAACCAACTGATGGCTTCAGCTTCACTCTCTGCATCATATTTACTATTCAACTGATATAGAAAACAAAATGAAATACATGAAAGACTTCAAGTCTTAAAAACAAGGACAATTTCAAGGCATAATTGATAAAGTATCCCAATGTTGAGGAAACTTGATTTATTACGCAATTCATCTTACATTTATGGAATTTATTAATTCATGAACCGATTGATGTTAGACCACCATTGAAAACATGGAAGTACTGGACATCCGCTTCGTCCTATTACAGGACTCATCAGCAGTTCGTACCCAAGTGACCAGTGGAGCTAATCCGTGTCGGATAGAGACAGGCATCTACCGCAATACAGTGGAAGATGATCGCGCAATTTCGTGGATTGGTTGAGGTTAAACATTAACACCGTTGGATGCCGGCTCAGTGATCTAGGGATTAAGCGTCCACGCGCGAGATTGAAGGCCCTGGGTTCGAATCTCGCGAGGGGGATTGTGGATGTGCGCTGTTGAGGAGTCCCACAACAAGTCGAAACGGCCGTCCAGCTCTTCCAGATTTCCAATGATGGTCTAACATCCATCGGTTCATGATCTCAATCAAAAAGATATATAGAGTTATTGATACCAAAGAATAAAAAAGACACAATAGTTATTGATTGATAATAGCTCTCAAGGAAGTATAGATTGAATTACATTCCAGTGTAAGCACATTAATCAATGCCTTATCAACTAGCATTTAACTAAAGGTTAAAAGTTGGTGTAACATATCCTTTAATTAATATTAGATATATTATAGCTTCTTAACAAAAAAACTTACACTTGTACTTTCATATTAGGTTACCTGATATTTTTTCACCTAATTTTTTATATAACTTACCTTGGAAAAGCGAATTATTACAATATTAGTTTTTCATCATGGCTCTACACTAATATATATACGTTTTACAATAATAAAATAATACTCATCGAGTGGATACGTTACGTAATAATTACATAATGACATTTAAATTAACATTGATTAATTGGAAGAAAGAGGATTATTAATATTCAAAGTGATCAAGAAGTTGCTAAGTTGCGTAATGTAAGAAACAAAGAAGGAACAGAATTTTAACGGATGGTCAATAGGATGGTAGCCATCGCAATCCATGTTCACAAACCTGACCTTTGCATTCAAAAGAGATTCGTACAACCACTTTCCCTGCCCTGGCCATCAGTTTAAGATTTCCTTCAAAAGAACTATTTTTCATACTTCTTCCATTTTTTTTTAAAACTTTTGTAATTTTATTTCTGTTGCTTTTGAACTTAATAACTTCTCAACATTCATCTCTTGATTCTTACGTAACTACCATCCTATTGACCATCCGTTAAAATTCTGTTCCTTCTTTGTTTCTTACATGACGCAACTTAGCAACTTCTTGATCACTTTGAATATTAATAATCCTCTTTCTTCCAATTAATCAATGTTAATTTAAAATGTCATTATGTAATTATTACGTAACGTATCCACTCGATGAGTATTATATCATAATTGTAAATCATACTTAGATATATTAGTGTAGAGCCATGATGAAAAACTAATTGAAAAGAAATTTCTTCGCTCAATTCGTTCCTTCTTTATTTGACAAATGGCAAAATGGGAATATTCACTATATTACAATATTGTTCTCTCTGGGAATAGGCTATAGTGTCATCTATACTTGATTGTTTTTTATCTTATTAAAACAGATTCATTTTGTTTGTGAAAAAAAGAAAAAAAACATTTTGTACCGGTATTTGATACTTCAAGCTAAAAAAAATTATTCATAAATTGAATACTTCAAATATTCAATAGACAATAAATCAGGTGTTATCTTAGTAAACCTTTATTCAAACTTTTAGAGAGGTCATTCTATGGTGTGTGTTACTGATGTCTACAGATATAAGTAGTATGTATTATCAATCAAAAGTGAAATGCCTGGCGGAAGAAGGTTAAAATGATCGAAGAGAAGAGAACGAGAACAAAGAATAATTGATGTGGAAACGAAAGAACAATGAAGTCTGATACGATTAACTGATATTTGCAAAAGGAACAGTCACGTTTGAGACAATTGAGAGACATTTTGCAAATGAAGTATTTACTGTATGATTTTCAAATTTTATGAAGATCTTCTGTAATTACGTGCTGAGATACGTTTGAGTGACTCCGACTTGTGTTCTCATTCACCAAAATTCAACCTCTAAAACAGTCTGAAATATATTTGGATAAACGTGGCTCACATTTAATTGTAGAAAATTCCCAATAATCATGAATAGTTTCTTCAAATATGACTGTTATATCAAGTCAGTATACTTGAACTATAATTTAAAACAGATGTTAAGCAAAATTAGCTTCAGGATTACATTGTCCGAATACGTCCATCCATAGAAATGACCATTTTCTTCTAAAACTGGTAATTTTATGCTACTAATACTACTATTACTATTGTAAGGGAAACTTAAGTTTTTTGTGGATATTATAATAATTTTAATAGTTGAAATCATTAGTCAATTGAAACTAGAACACCATAGAAAACTTGGAAGCACTGAACGGCCGTTTCATCTTATTGTGGGGCTCCTCAGTAGTGCGCATCCACGATCCTTATTTTATGAATTAATGCGTTGACAGTTTCGAAGAAAAAACTCTCTTAAATAATAACTGAATGTGTAGATCTATTAATTATTATTTAACCTTCATAAACCTGAGTACTTTGAATCATTCTTTTTTTATACAGATCGTGTTCATTAACTACCACACAGCTCAAAGTTACACTTCTTATATTTTGTTAGTCTGTTAAGTGAACATTTGGGTGAAAATAGAGTGTTTTACTCACTCTACAAATTAGTTATATCTAGCAGGAATAGGTAGTCCATTTACTCTAACAGACAAGTAAATAACTTGATAAACTAAATATTCAAATATCTATGTAATAGTGAAATAAAATGATCATCCTACAACTTAATATGTTTGGATCAAAGTCCATATCATAAAAGTAGATCATAAACTATACCATCAATAACTGTTGAACAATAATGAAATGTTAACAGGTAACTTATAAGTATCATTGATTATACTTTATAAATAAATGTTTAAACTCTACTGTACATGGTGCCTTAGTTGATACATTAATAAATAGATTTAGTTTATTAAAGATTTCATTTGTAATTAGTGCCCTGGTATGGTCGAGAGTGGGGAGAGTTCGATCTCTCTATCTCTCGAAATGCTCTCACATAACCACGTGCATATAACCACTGACAGGGAAGTCCTACTCACTACCTTTTCGTGGCAATACTGTTGTTTAAGAAATTAAGAGGACGAAAAGCGAATATCGGACGCTTTAACCGAGTTGGTGGATATAGAGGAAAGTTGAAAAACCCTGATTCCAAACTAATCGTGCACACGCACTCCAGTATCCTGATTAAACAAATGGGGTACGAACCAATTGTTGGTCACCGGCTACCATGAGACTGCATCCTCTGACATTGCTCCACTGCCTTGTTGATCAGACATTTAGGTCGAAGGCTTCGGGTGTGGCTTCATGAGAAAACGACCTGCTTCGGTCTGGACACCCGGTCAATATCCCAGCTTTCACACAAATTGAATGATTTATGTGGCGCATGTCTATCTGGTGCCTTCTTGTACCAATGTTTATGTGTTTAAATACATAAATAAATGCGTTTAATGTTTCCTCTAATATCGCATGATATGATAATTGAGAATAATTTGGTACTTAACTTACCCGACGATTGATCTGTACATCCATACCCATATCGCTCATTCGAGTAGCCATTTTTTCCTCTTAGTTACCTTTTCTTGAGAGTTAATGCAGAGTTTAGAAAAAAAATCTGATTCAATCTATTCGACGAAAGATTTTATAATGAAAATAGTTCACGATTTCAAATTATAGTCACCTTCAAAATTGTGTAAAGTTTTCTATCAATATTTGCTGTTGTAGCCTTGAAAGATTTTGTTTTTGTTTCTAAATTATTTATGTGCCTACACATCAAAATAATCGTTCATCCATGTTTACTAGTATGTACTATCCTTTTTTGGCTTAATCGATTATAGATTCATTTTTTATGAAATTTAACCTTCCCTTCATTTATGACCGAAAACCAATCATTATGACAATAACAAAATGTGGGACATATCGAATAGAAATTAACACGCTTCATATAAGATGGGCTTCATTTATTTGCCCTTTTCCTATTCTTATTTTATCATATATATTTATATGCACAAATTGTAAAGAAAATCATATGCACATCATAAACACACATTATGGATACAAATAGGATAGACATTATAACACAAGACATGTATGTATTTTGTCACTAAACTGTTGATATCCAACACTAGGGATTATCCAACACTTAGATTGTGGTTTACTGCTATGAACCTTAACGACACTATGAATAAACTAATATGGATAAACTGTTTGGATAAAAATAAATGACTGTTGTGAATAATGTTTTTGTATTAATCTATTTTTAAAAGTCTAGCCTTTAGTGTACATTTACACATTACAGGTATACTATTGATTAGTATATACGACTTACGTAAAGCAAGGAGTAGTAGTAGCAGTAGATTATTGTTGTTGTTGTGATGATCGTTGAGGTTGTTTCTAAAACCTGTCGTTATTTCGAGCTAGGCATTATCCTTTTGCTTAGGAATTCATTTCTAGGACTGATATATGTTATTTTATCATTATTAAGCTGGCTTCTATACAATAACTTCAACTTTTCAACTTTAAACTTTGTTGAGTACCTATCGTGCTGTTAGTTAAAAGTGTGCCATTTTGGATGTATATTTATTTTTATATTTGAATTCATGAGTCAATTAAAGGCAGACTACCATGGAAAACCTGGAAGCACTGGACGGCCGTTTTGTCCTAGCATGGGACTCCCCAGCAGTGCACATCCACGATCCCACACGTGGATTCGAAACCAGGACCTTCGGTCTCGCGCGTGAGCATTTAACCTCTAGACCAGTGAGTCGGCATCCAATGGTGTTATTGTCTAACTTCATCCAGTCCACGAAATAGAGCCACCACCCATCATTGTCTTCAGTGAGTTATTATATATATATATATATATATATATATATATATATATATATATCGGAACTAAAATTAACAAATCTATTGCAAACTATGTTTAAATTGTGGTTGTGACTATTTCATTGAACTTTTAAATGTGGATTATCTTGACGCTACAACATTCACTAATTTAACTGTCAACATAGTTTTATTCTTCTGTCTTAAACATGGAATTGTAATCACCAGAATAATGCTTCACTCAAAATGATGTTAGTTGTCGAAACTCACCCTTACTACCATTAATATCTACTACTAAATTAAGTAACCTTGGTACATAATTTAAATCTCCTTCTTGTACCGTATACTGATAAGGCACATAACATTGTCGTGTGTTTGTATGTTATAGCACCCACACATTTAGTTGCCCGCATATAAAATATAATATTTTTTCTTCAACGGTCGATTAATTGTGATTTTCTAATTCTATGAAACATGGTAACTGTGAGGTAGAATAAATAAAAGTGTTAAAACGTTATTTTTATCAGAGAAACTAATAATAGTTTTAATCTCGGTTTCAATGAAAACACTTTATATGAACATTGATTTCAAACGTGAGAAACTTATAGGAGTTTCGAAGAGGAAAATTTCCTACTCTCTAAAAAGAGCGTTATTAGCGGCAAGTTTTCAAATTATTTTTTCCAACCAATCAATGTTCATCTAAAATCCTACGGATAAATGATTTCACTTGACCAATTTTGTATACTATAGAGACGGTGAAATGTCACTGAGCCCTAGCCAAATCATCCGACAGTTGGGTCACTGATTATTGAACATTTGATCGATCCCTATCAAAGTCAAAGACAAACAACGCGCATCGGTTAATCGTATGCCATGGACTGGCCAACGTGGTGGTGGTCCTACTATCTACTCTATACTCATTCTTACTAATATATTTCCATAATAACATCTTTTGTGTTGTACCATCCATAGTACCTCAATACGACGAAGGGATAATCCACGTAAGGTGCTGACTGTGAGATGTAATTTCTACGTTAGTTGTCGGTTATACCATTCCCGTCTAACTGGAGTAGGCCCCCAGTCATTTGACATAGATCATTTACGTTGGTAATTTACACATTATTATTATTGATTGTTAATCTCCCCAATACAGGATTCATTTGCTTTGCATTCATCCCACCTTAATATGTATTACTAATCATTTTTTACACAATATAGTCTTCCACTAAACATTTGATCGAATTATAATGGCACCATTATCTCTCTCACCCTATCTGATCCATATTTATTCTAATCATGGGAACTTAACAATTTCACTTAACATATAAGCTGATTCAAATTAACAATCCATATAAGTCATATCAACATGAACAACTTTATTCTATTTTGTTTGACAATCCTACAGTTTACATACCATAACTTTAAACGATGTACTTTGCCCTTAATCTGACCATTTTTGGGAGGATTATTAATATGGATATATTGGATTGTAGAACTTGAAGAGAATTGATCGAAAAGAATATTCTTCATTTATAGATTATTTTTTTAAGGATGATGAGGATCATTCACTAGAAGAATGTGACATTGTGTCTAGTTTAATTTCCTTACTTCTAATTAATAAACTTTTGTTTATCATAATTAATATATGGTAAACATATTACATATTTGTTTACCTATCTTCTCTATATGATAGTGCAAAAAATAAAGCTACCTATGAATAAATCAACTCGATGAAAAATCATCTGTAAAATAGCTTGTTTACTTAACGATGAAATACTGGACAAAAAATACTAACCCCATACATTTGTTTCCAACTTAGAACATATTTTAAACGACTCTAGTACTACGTTTAAAAACCATGTACTCAGATTTTTTATACAAGTATCATCCTCTCAACGATAAAGATAACACGGATTTAAAGGGGACATACTTTTTTGAGGACGTAATAAAGTGAAAGCAAGGTGGCTTGATCTAGGAAGTATGCAAAAAAATTCATGTGCCAAGTGAGATATCAAAAGTAACATTTTTGGCAGTTTACCATCGGGTACATAACTTCGCTAACGAGGTCAGCTTTAACTGTTTAATACCTTCTAAACTACATGTTTCTGAAAGCTGTAAATCTCTTTCAAAATCCGGACAGATTTTTTGACCAGTTTATTTAGTTAAAGCATAATTTCATTCACCATCTATATATCACTCCTCTGATGAAATTTTAGGTATTTCTAATATGTAAACTTTGTTATTACTAAGAATATCTGTCAAACGCACCTTCCTGTCAATATTTTATGGTTTCACTATTTTACTAACTCCACCTGGAGCTCTTCTACAATTACTGCAGGTTCCAAGCCCAGATAAGTAAGGAGCGTTGGGCATGCTGTGGGCAACCCCATTTCGCAGAAAATAATCTCGATAAAAGAACGCTAGCTTGTTTAAACAAAATGGTTATAGACGACACAATATTCCCATGCAAACGCATAAAGAAAGCTACATGGGTTTCATTGGATCACAACACACAGAACCAGATAGATCATATTTGCATTACTAAAAAATTCACAAAGTCAGTGGGAGACGTGAGGACAAGAACAGGAGCTGGCATAGCTTCAGATCACCATCTACCTGGTGGTTATCAAGAAGAAAACTGAAGCTAATGAAACGATGGACGACTGAAGAAACAACGTTACAAAGGTTCAATGCAGACTTCCTTCAAAATACTGACAAACATAAGTAATTCAAAGTCGTTCTTAGCAACATAGAAGGCCTACGTAATCTGAGGGATCCGGATCTTCTCATTTCATCCAAGCTGTCTGTAGAGGTATATACGTTTCAAAACAAATACTTTTAAGTTGACGCTGACCTAATTAGATACATCAGAGACACGGTCACGCATCCGCACCAGATCACGAGTGGATACGCCTTGCTACTCATCCCTTTCAACTGTTAGACAGCCTAGATCAAGCGTTTCTCGACATATCGATAACTTTTTCAAATATATCCTCAAAATTCTGGTTTGACTAGATTGGTATGCTTCAATTCTAATGGTGTTGTGTATAAATGCGTTTTCAAACCCTGAATATGTATGGAATTTACAGTGGTAAACCCGACGTGATCTAATACACCAAACAGCAAACTGTGAGTCCGTTCATGTTCGTAGCGTTAATTATCAATTTTAATTTTTACTTTTATATATCGTGATGCCATTTTTGTGTTCTTGGCTTTTTTCGCTCATTTTTATATTTTATCCTCATGTGGACAAAACAGACACCCAAACCATTAAAGATTAAGACTTCTTACAGCTAAGGTTGACTAGATTAGAGTCGAACCCAAACAAATAAGTATATAATCAGAGAAGGGTTTTAGTGGATATCATGGCAAGTTCAATGTTTGAGATCATGGATGAATTGAAGCTAGACCACCATGGAAAACGTGGAAGCACTAGAAGGCTGTTTCGTCCTATTTTGAGACTCCTCAGCAGTGTACATCGACGATCCCGCTCCCCCCAGAGAGATTCGAACACAGGAACTATCAGTCTCGTGAGCGAGCGCTTAATTCCTAAACCACTGAACTGGCATCCAACGGTTTTAATATCTAACTTCAACCAATCCAGGAACTTGAGCGACACATCCATCAATGTCTCCAGTGAGTTATTATCTCACAACAGACTCGGTTGAACTACGCTGGCCACTGTTCCCCCTGGAACTCCAGCAAGTACCTCTTGGAGACCGTCATTAGTGAGCATATGATGATTATAAGTATATGTCAAAACAAATGAGCTCAAGTATCAATTCACCTTCTTATTTCGTATAAGCACTAGATTTTTCATTAACTTATATCGAACGTTGAAAAGCTTTGTTTGTTTTGACAGGTAGCCGCCCGCCCCATTCTGACTTTCCCACGATCAAAATAAGGACCTATTCATTACTAGTCTGGTTTGTTCTACCAAATGAACGATGGTCACCTACAGGCATGAAAGATTCTTTTGCCTTCTTCCCTTCAGCTCATGCCATTCTGGTCCGGCAATGTCGAATTCCGGTTCTGTTACACAAAATCCGACTTTCTCGAGCATGGTGTTACACAGCCGCGGGCTCAATTCCTCACAGTAGGGAAGGTGTTAACAAGCGTTTTAACAGGTAATCTCACTTTTGTTTTTATATTCATCATAACCACAAGCGCTTCATAAATCCTCGAAAACGTCCTTCACGAGAATCACCCGTTTCTGGACCACGACGGCAGATAAATCTGATTGGTGTCAGTACCAAAACAAGTATCCTAGAAATGCCGGAATACCGTGATGTTTCCTAAACCCCAAAACGCCTGTCACAACTAAACTTTCAGTAAGCTTGTCCACCGGCACGCGCTAACGGATACTGAAGCTGGAGAACATGGACGTCTTTTATACGTTGGTGATATGATGATGAAGCCTCGTTACCCCGTCCTTACGAGCGCAGGAGTAAGCGTTGTTTTCACGAATACTAGCGACCGACTTTACGAACCAGTATAACAACTAACAGGTACCAGATCGAAAACCAATCGCCACGTACTATGAGCGATATATTTATCTGAACGTAGGTTATCGCGAACCCACTCACCGGATTTTCATTGTTACAGATATTTCTATGCTAACCATTGGTATAGACCCGTGTTTGTGGAATCTCATAATGTGGTTGTAGGCTACGTCTAGTCACGCTTAAGCATAAAATCGACCAGTAGATTCGACAGATACTCAGTAACTACCTCGACCTGTACCAAACGCAACCAAAATTACAGTTCAAAACCAGTGACGTTGCATACTACATCATGACTACAGCACCACGTGTATTCTCAAAAGTGCACCGACTACCTCCTCAAAAGCTGAGGTTGGCTAAAATCGAATTCGACCGCACGATCGACTTAGGAATCATTCGGCCACCCAACAGTCTATAGGCATCTCTCCTACACATGGTTCCCGAGACGGACAGCAATGATTGCTATCTAACTGATGACTATCGACGACTAAATGTGAAAACTATTTTTAAAGAAGACAATGCTAGTCTTAGAGTGTATGTATATGGGACCAGAATAAGATGGAAAATGTCCTTTTAGAAGAGGGTTGTGAGTGGCGCTTTACATTTTCTAGAGCTAGTCAATCAGGCAGTGTATGGGGACGCATCACAAACTCAGTAAGAAGAATTCTACAATCACTACTGTTTCAGAATTGATTGACGGACGAGTCTTTGGAGACGTTTTTAATATCGGCTGAAGGGATACTGACCAATCGACTACTCTTAAAGCTAGTTAATGACTGTGATGATCTGAATGTAATTACGCCAAATAAGTTATTATTAGTTCATAGAGGTGTATCATTCGAAGAAGCACAGATAAGTGAAACGGGCTTATACAATAGATGGAAGGAAGTGCAACAACCACTCAACGTAGTCTGGAATGGATGGTTACGAGAGTACCTACCAACCGTTTATGCGGGATCCAAGTGCTTAGACAAGAGGAGCAATCTACAGCCGGGAGATTTAGTGTTAGTAAACAATTCTGGCTCGCCGAGAGATCTGTGGCCGAAAGCTGTAGTTAGACAGGCCAATTATGGTTTACATGGACGAGTCAGAACAGTTCGGCTGAAGATAGCAACCGGAGAGATCAACCGGGATATACGAAACCTATACCTACTGGAAGAATCCGGATAAATGAACGTGACAATGGTAAAGCCTTAGCATGGTGTCCGCTTGCGGGGTAGATGTTAGTTATGTACACAACTAGCCAATTAAATCGTTGTTTAAGCGCCCGCCACATCAATCTGTTCCTATGTGTCTGTAGACTATCCCTCTTGTATATAACCTGCCACCTGAAGGACATTTTTGTCCTCTTATATCAGTATGAAACATAATTTTCATTCGTTTCGATAAGAAACGCAATACTAGTCGGTAATTTTATGCGTTCCACTTAGTGACTATAATTCCTTTATTTATTATACCAATCAAATTGTTATTACATTTAGGGAAAAAAATTTGAAGTCCAGTTGTCCTTGTTCAGACTATAGCTTTCACAGAGACTCTAGGAAGGCCAGTATCGCGTTTACGGCTCTAGTAGTATATCGTCAGGAGAAATTACATCCTACAATCACTGGCGCACTAACGGGCGGACTGTATCGGTAAATAAATAGTTCTGTAGGTCTTCTGCATTTCATCTCGACCTCAATGGTTTTACTGGACATGCCTAGCTGAAGACGCTGGGTCACGAATCCACACCAGACCACCAGTGGATACACCACGCCACGCATCACTTGCAACCGCTAGCCGGTTTGACAAGACGCTTCTCGATATATCGATAATCTTACAAGTATATCTTTGAACCTCTTCACTTCTCATTTTTGATTTGACTGGGTTAGCCTACTTAAACTATGAAGGTGTTATGTGTAAAAACGTTGTTAACTTCTAGATACCTCCACGATCTTCAAGCTTTTCAGATTAGAGACAAATTTGTCAATTAGCCCTATCTGATACTGAAGCCCATATTTTCTTACTGACTTTGTGCAATGATTCCCTACTTGTTTAGACTGACTATAGGTGTTGTCGTATCTATTTCATTTATATTCCTCTCAACAGTACTTTTTGAGTCCTAGCTTTCGAAGAGTACGACTCATGACAGAACGCGGCTTATAACTTTTAAAAACTGTTTGTGAGACTGACTGATCATGTACAGTAGGAAATACCGGTGAGGATCAAGTTGAGGGTGAACTTTCCAGTCAACATATGTAGATTGTCTTGTAAAGCTAGCACATCCGAACGTTTGAAATTCCAACTTTCGTAATTAGTGAGATGCTTTAGCTTAAGATAATATCACACTTAAACGTGTTCAACCTATGGGCAGTAAGTTAATGGTAGGTCTCTTTAAACTGTTTCATTGCATCAGGTTTCCATCCGTACACGGATGACGATAATAGTGTTTAAAACAATGAGCTAGGTTCAAGGTTAAGGTCAAGAGAACGATGGGGATTTGGTTTGTAAAGTCCATCCCAAGGTGCTGGTTTGATCGTATTTGTGGTCATCAGATAACTTCGAATTTCCCTTACTTCCTAGTTAGTTGTTACTTAAAAATTGTGCAATATACTTACATGCACCCAGTCTCTGGCTCACTGATCCTCTTCTTTTGTAGGTCCTCACTCACACTTTTCTTCCCACTCCTTAAATAACACACCAACCTTGACGCCGACTTACCAACGGCTTCAGGCTGCGGGAATATGGATGGCTACGACCATAGTTGCGAGCGGAAATTACTGAGCAGTCATTCAACGTTTGGATTACCACCTGTGAAGTCAGACAGCTCTCTGGTCGATGATAACACTGGTGTGGAAAGAATTACTAAGGCATTTTCACCTCCAGAAAATAGACTCGCTCCACTTCTTGGCAAAAAGTTATTCATGCATTATGAATCAGGCACAGCTCGTGACAAACACATTGAACAAGTGTTAAAGAAGCTTAAAGGAGCAAGTTTACCTTTTTTGTGCTCAGTATTATTTCTTCCTGAGCGTTTTACGTGTGGTAAAACTTACGTTAATAAGTTTTGGTTGAAAATAAGCAAGACACTTCGTAGCTTCGGCACGTAATATTCAACGAAATCTGGTAGGATAGTTTTTAGAATGTGACTGAAAACTGGAACGCACTAAATGTAGTGTTTGTGGAGTGGTAGTCTTTATCCAATGCGTCCAGTCAATTGGGGGCCGAACAAACAATGTAACGGTCCGAAAACCTAATTTAGTACAATATATTTTGAAGGATATAGGGGACAGAACGCCAAATCCATTTTACTATTTTCCAGTGTTCTTGTATGTGTTTAGCTTTCTCTGGGGTAATTCAGTCAGTACACAAAGTATTCTTGAAATTAGATTCGAGGAGTTAGTTGCACGGTAGGAAAATCTGTACTCTATGATGTGGTTTGTCCTTGGCCTTTGAATTTATCAACCGTGTCATGTGTATTAGTTGGTCTAATTGAAGGAGTGACGGGGGTCCTGTACATCATCGGGATAGTACAATAAGGTTTAACTTCCTAGTCCACTCGTAAAAGAAGCTAGGCACAGGCAAAAGTTCTTTGCACTTTCCAGGCTATGAGTTACATTTTAATTAAGAGTTTATGACTTGAACGCAGGTTGTTGTTTGGCTTTGCTTCTACACATGTTTTTCTTGATGTAGCATTTCGCGAGTTAAGATTATTGCAACATGATTGACTATAGCCTCTCCATTGTTCTAGTCGTCTATCATTTGAGATGCAGATACTTTGCTAACTTGTTCATTTTTTTGGTTTTATAATCACTGGTGTGTTGAACAAGTGTCAGTAAGGTTGTGAATTCCAACGACTTCTGGTCAAATGATTTTAATGATGACTACGTCTCTAAGCCCAGAAATTGGATTGAACTTGCGTACAGTAAGGCCTATGCAGCTATTTGACCGGAAGTACGGTTCGTTTTTCCGTTTTGACAGCTTTCACTTATATATAACCTTTTAATATTATCAGCCAGATTACAAATGGTAATGACAGATTCCAAAACTGAAAATTTGTTTTTTAACAGTACTTTTCTACAGAAAACCGCTTGAGTGCAGACTTCTAGAATTTAAATTTTGTTTTACGAAATGATCTGTTTCTGTTTTGGTCTCTAGCTCTCCAGTCTTTTTTTGACTTCCACTTTATAAATGATAATTGAGTTGTCTGAAAGACTTGACATAATTCTGCGTCTATTTAGTTTATAGTTACCTTTTTGCTGGCGTTTTAGCGGCAGGTGGTTGAGCTCCTTCTCTGCTTTTCATAATTACTTTCTGATAAGCTACTTAAAGCTGCCCATCCACTTTACTATGAATAAGATGTTTCATTGTATAGTTTTTATCTTCGGTGGGTTACACTGTAGTGTATATTGCAGTGAAGTCTTGAAAACGTGTTTAAAACATCTCGCTTATCGGTGCTCTACAGTTTAATATCAACAACATGATCACCAGCCAAAAGAATGAGCTATTTTGTATTACTAAGTAATATGTTTACGTACGGAATCTTGACATGAAAACAATATGGTTACATATAGTAAACGATTGGCCCCCAAATGCCCTGGTATAACCGAGTGTAGATCAGATATTCACACTACGTCAGGTTCTAGAACACAGACACACATTCAGACGCCCCACAATGGTAGTATTTCTCAACCTTAAGGCGGCATTCGACTCTGTCGATCGTAAGGTTCTATGGCGGTGTTTGTCACTGAAAGGAGTACCAGAGAAGTACATTAACCTTATAAAGGCTCTCTACTCGAACACAACTGGTAGAGTGAGAGCTTATGGCGAACTGTCATCAGAATTGATTACCTCAAGTGGTGTTCGTCAGGGCTGTCCACTCTCCCCATTCTTGTTCAACTTTGTGGTCGACGTACTTTTAGAGATAACACTCTCCTCATCTAAATTTCCAGGGGTTGAACTTCTACTTGGTGGTTCACTTGTTGACTTAGAATATGCAGATGACATAGTTTTATTTGGTGAAAATGCTGACAAAATGCAGAGTCTTCTGACCACTCTAAGCAACAATGCAAGCATGTTCGGGATGCGACTCATCCCCTCGAAATGCAAAATGTTGCTTCAGGATTGGGTTACATCGACACCCGAACTAGTGATAAGGAGTGAAGTAGTTGAGTGTGTCGACCGCTTCACTTATCTTGGAAGTCTCATCAGCCCTTGTGATCTGGTTTGTGACGAAATCTCAGCACGGATACAGAAGGCTCGACTAGCTTTTGCCAACTTGCGTCATTTATAGCGTAGGCGAGATATCCGTCTATCAACCAAAGGACGGGTTTACTGCGCAGCAGTTCGTTCCGTCCTTCTTTATGGCAGTGAAACATGGCCGGTAAGAGTAGAGGATATTCGTAGGCTACTAGTATTCGATCATAGGTGTCTTCGAAACATTGCTCGTATATCCTGGGACCATCGAGTAAGTAATGCAGTTGTTAGGAAACGGGTACTAGGTAAGGATAGCAAATCAATTGATGAAGTAGTGAAACTTCATCAGTTGAGGTGGCTGGGACACGTGTTACGTATGCCAAACGACCGACTGCCTCGACGTGCTATGTTCAGTGGTATAGGAGTAGGTTGGAAGAAAGCTAGGGGTGGCCAAACCAAAACATGGCACAAGTCCATGAAGTCACTGACAAGTGGACTGAGTCATGTTGGTAGGTGCAGACTACCTGGTTGGGGACCGCGAGATGATAGCAACCGATGATTAGAGACCCTGAATGACATGGCTCAAAATCGTTTGTAATGGCGCAGGTGCATCCACTCTTTGTGTTCTCCCAAATTCTAATCTTCTGAATTCTTCATGTCCCTTTTTTCCTCTTTCCAAATTTATTTCACTGGATTATACTCTTTAAGTAACATCTCCAAACACTAATCTTCCCGATTACTGCTTATACTCTTACCACCTCTACCACTACGGGATTTGAGTTGACCACTGCATCTCTGTGCTAATGTGGTGTGGCAACTCGAACTGATGTACGTACGTACGAAGTTCTACGTTGTTACTGACTGACTGAGTGTAGAAAGAGTCAGCTCTCTCTATCTCTCGAAATGCTCTCACATAACCACGTGCATATAACCACTGACAGGGAAGTCCTACTCACTACCTTTTCGTGGCAATACTGTTGTTTAAGAAATTAAGAGGACGAACAGCGAATATCGGACGCTTTAACCGGGTTGGTGGATATAGAGGAAAGTTGAAAAACCCTGATTCCAAACTAATCGTGCACACGCACTCCAGTATCCTGATTAAACAAATGGGGTACGAACCAATTGTTGGTCACCGGCTACCATGAGACTGCATCCCCTGACATTGCTCCACTGCCTTGTTGATCAGACATTTAGGTCGAAGGCTTCGGGTGTGGCTTCATGAGAAAACGACCTGCTTCGGTCTGGACACCCGGTCAATATCCCAGCTTTCACACAAATTGAATGATTTATGTGGCGCATGTCTATCTGGTGCCTTCTTGTACCAATGTTTATGTGTTTAAATAAATAATAAACGAACAGAAGTGCATATATCCAAATAAATAAATAATATTCAATCTACGTAGAATTTACTAAATTAACAGAATATTTCCAAGATTTTTTCAAAAAATCATTCCTGTTTCAATACTACTTACAATCTACTTTCATGTGATTGAATAATGTTAAAAATGCAACAATTTTTGTATTATATAAGAGATTTTAGTTCATAGTTAGTATTAAAATACTGAATGTTAAATTTCATGTAGCATGTGACATTAATATATGTATTGTATATTCATGACCTTAGAAATATCAGTCCTTGATATAATTAAGATTGAAAAAATATTCTTTTAGTTCATTTGATTGCAGTATTTAATAGATAGAATAGTTATTTATGGAGCCTATTAACTGTTATGCATTGATAATAACTCACGTACCTTCTGAAAAATATAACCTTAATCTGTTATAGTCAACTCAACCTAGATTTCACCATAAATTGCAAACAAAAGGCTGTACAGCAGCTCACCTATGGTGGAAAATCGGTTCTCGAGTCACTGCCTGGTCGAAAACTGTATGCTACCACCGGATACGAATACTGAGGCAGTTTTTCTGAAGTCACGTGCACCATTCAAACTAGCTGCCTTCAACGTTCGCACACATATGCAGGTCGGACAACAGATAGGGCTGGCTATGTCTTTGGGAAGTTTTAATATCGACGTTTGTTGTCTATGCGATACCCGTATTCAAGACTGGCGAAGTACTACAAGTTCACTGTCCATCTGTTGCTTCAAAAAGCTTATTTTACGTGCGTCTATCCGGGGACCCTGTGGCATCTTCGTCTGGTCTTGCTGGCGTTGGTGTAGCACTAAGCGCTAGAGCTGAGGTAGCGCTAATCGACTGAATCCCCATTAACAGTCGGTTATGTGCTGTTAGATTAGAGAGTTCCATCAACGTGAGAAGAAATCGGTGTGAGAAACGATGTCTGTTCGTCAACTCCGCCTATGCCCCGACAGATTGCAGCCCGGATGCAATCAAGGATGAATTCTACCACCAGTTAACTGTTGTTCTCCAGAAAGTGCGTCATTATAGTAATAGCCGGAGACTTGAATGCTCAGGTCAGGCGTCTAGGCACAGAAGAAAATCGTTTTGGTGGCCGATGGAAACTTGTTGGTTGCAGGACAGATAACGAGGACCGTGTACTGCACCTGTGCACAGACCACAACCTGTTTCTGGCTAGCACTAACTTTCGGCAGAGTCATCCACGATGTGCCACCTGGCGTCCTTCCTCTGCAGCTCAAGCCTGGACTCAGATTGATCATATCGCGACCAGCTACCGCTGGCGTGGTTGTGTACAAGACTGCCGCTCCTTTTGGAGTACCTATCTGGACTCTGATCATGCCCTGGTCTGCGCTAATCTTACCTTACTTTTCAGTGGACAACGAAGTGACCGCCACCAAAGGATTAATGTCAGCAAGTTGGTTGCAACTTCTGTTGCAAGTAAGTATCGAACGGAGCTAGCTTCTAGGCTAGCTACCATTCAACCGAAAAGTATAGTTGAGAATTGGTTGCAATTGCATGACGCCATGAAAATGGCTGGTAAAATCGCTTGCAGCTTCACAAAACGTCCCGCTTATAAGCACTGGGTTTCTTCAGGCTCCTTACAACTCATCGAAGCCCGTCGGTCTACTCCGGGTGACCGTGAGTTTGACCACAAACGAAGGCTGTTGCGTAATGAAATCGGGCAAAGCTTGCGTAAGGACTGAGAAGCCTGGCGGTCGGAGCGTGCTAATGATCTGGGAGCAGCAGCTGCATCTGGTAACTACCGGAAGCTCTTCCAACTCATCCGAGCCACTGGCAGCAAGAAGTCTGGTGTGAGCGAAACAATCTACGAGGGTGTTGGGATGCCAATCACTAACATCCATCGACGTTTTGGACGATAGGCAGAATTCGTTGAAAGGCAGTTCAACTGGTCTGCTGCTTCGGCAACATCTATCAGACTGCCGTGCCCTCCATGGCCGATGACGACTGATCAACCAAGTGAGGCGGAAGTCCGCAAGGAACTCCAACTCTTGAAGCGCTACAAATCACCGGGCTCATATGACTTACATCCGGCTCTTCTGGCTAAGGAACTGACTATGTTGTTTACAAAGGCCTGGGAACTAGGAGTGTATCCGCATCATGGAACGAGTTGATAGTTGTTCATATCTTTAAAAAGGGTTCACATCGTTCCTGTAACAACTATCGAGGGATAATCTACTTCCGATTGCATCCAATCTATTGGCTTCCGTCATACTTCGTAAGTTGTTCAAAACCCGAGAAAGATTGACTCGTGAGGAGCAGGCTGGTTTTCGTTCTGGTCGAGGATGTATTGATCATATCTTCACCCTCCGCCAAATGTTAGAACACCGTCATACTTATCAAAGGCCAAAAATTATAGTGTTTCTTGACATCAGGGCTGCCTTCGATTCGTTGGACAGGACTGTTCTCTGGGATTGTTTATTGAAGAAGGGTGTGCCTGAGAAGTTTATCAACATCTTAAAGGCCCTACATACAAACACCTCAGGTAGAATGAGGGCATACAACCTTCTCTCTCCATCGTTCCATTCGAGCAGTGTGGCTAGATAGGGTTGCCCAGTCTCACCATTCCTCTTCAACTTTGCCATCGACGACATTCTGGGAACAGCTCTCATGGATGCAAGTAATGATGGTGTGGATCTGTTGCCTGGAGAAAGACTTCTCGACCTTGAGTATGCGGACGATGTTGTCTTATTGTGCGATAATGCCCAAGGCATGCAATCCGCACTTAATCAGTTGGCAATCAGTGTCCGTAGATATGGTATGTGCTTTGCACCTTCGAAGTGCAAAGTACTTCTACAAGACTGGCAGGATTCTAATCCTGTACTCACCCTGGATGGTGAGCAGATAGACGTAGTCGAGAAGTTGATGTATCTGGGTAGCTGCATAAGTCCTGGTGATGGCGTGAGTGATGAGATCAATTCACGTATATTGAAAGCCAGAGCGGCTTATGCCAATCTGGGTCATCTTTGGCACCTTCGTGATGTCAGTCTGGCTGTAAAAGGTCGGATCTACAACGCGTCGGTGAGAGCAGTTTTGCTCTATGCTTGTGAAACGTGGCCTCTTCGAGTTGAGGACGTTAGAAGACTCTCTGTGTTTGATCACCGTTGTCTCCTAAGGATTGCTGACATACAGTGGCATCACCATGTCAGTAATGCAGAGGTTTGTCATCGTGTGTTCGTGTGCAGAGACGATAATGCAATTGGTGTCACTATCCCGGGTTCCGGCAGGCGACTGGCTCTCAGTTTTTAGCTTTACAGACTTATAAAAGAAACTGGAATTAATAAGTCAAGTGTAAGTGAGATTATTTCGGAAAAAGACGATACTCTCATCTGCTCCCAGTCCAGACGTTTAGAACGATGGGCGGAACATTTTAGAGAACAGTTCAGCTGGCCTTCAGCTTCTCTGCAACTACCCTCCATTCCCAGACAATGTGAATGGAACATTGAAGTAGGTCCCCCAACTCTTACTGAAGTTCAAAAGGTTATAGTTAATCTGAAACGAGGAAGGACAGCTGGTCCAGATGGACTGGCTCCAGAGGTCTTTAAGGATGGTGGTCCAATTTTAGCGATTAGGTTGACTAATATTTTAGCTAAGATCTGGGAGTCAGACGTTATTCCATCTGACTGGTCGCAATCACTTATCGTCCCAATATATAAGAAAGGGTCAAAATCATCCTGTGACAACCACAGAGGGATTAGTTTAACTAATATAATATCTAAAATACTGGCCTCGATAATTATCAAACGCCTAACTAAGACTCGTGAACTACAAACTCGAGAGAACCAAGCTGGCTTCAGACCTGGTCGTGGCTGCATCGACCACATATTCACCATTCGTCAGGTTCTAGAACACAGGCATACTTATCGGCGTCCGACAATGGTGGTCTTTCTCGACTTAAAAGCAGCATTTGACTCTGTAGACCGCGAGATTCTGTGGCAGTGTCTGTCATTGAAAGGCGTACCTCAGAAGTACATAAACCTTGTGAAGGCTCTTTACTCGAACACTACTAGTCGAGTCAGGGCTTATGGCGAACTGTCATCTACTTTTGCAACCTCAAGTGGTGTCCGTCAAGGCTGTCCACTTTCTCCATTTTTGTTCAACTTCATGAAAAACATACTGATGGAAATAACATTCTCGTCGACTGAGTTCTCGGGTATTGATCTCCATCCAGGAGGTCCACTTATCGACTTAGAATACGCAGATGACATAGTCCTGTTTGGTGAAGACGCTGATAGAATGCAGAGTCTTCTGGTAGCACTAAGCAACAATGCCAGAATGTTTGGGATGCGCTTCTCTCCCTCTAAATGCAAGTTGTTGCTTCAGGACTGGTCTGCGTCAACACCTGAACTAAGGATAGGGAGTGAAGTAGTCGAACGCGTTGACAACTTCACTTATCTTAGAAGTCTGATCAGCCCTAATGGGTTGGTGTCTGACGAAATCTCAGCACGGATTCGAAAAGCTCGTTTGGCTTTTGCCAACTTACGTCACCTTTGGCGGAGGCGAGATATCCGTCTATCAATAAAAGGACGAGTATACTGCACGGCAGTTCGTTCTGTTTTAATTTACGGCAGCGAAACATGGCCCTTAAGAGTAGAAGACACCCGTAAGCTACTAGTATTTGACCACAGATGCCTTAGAAATATTGCTGGCATCTGCTGGGATCACCGGGTAAGTAATAATGAGGTTAGACGCAGGGTATTAGGGAATGATGGTAAATCAGTTGATGAGGTTATGAATCTTCATCGACTGAGATGGTTGGGCCACGTATTACGTATGCCTGAACACCGATTACCACGACGTGCAATGCTAACCGGTGTAGGGGATGGTTGGAAGAAAGTTAGGGCGGCCAAACCAAAACGTGGCATCAGTGCTTGAAGACACTAACTTCTAGTCTGAGCCATGTTGGTAGATGCAGACTACTTGGTTGGGGTCCGCGTGACTTTCGTAACCAATGGTTGGAGACTCTTGGTGACATGGCTCAGAATCAATCACAATGGCATCGGTGTATACACTCCCTGTCTTCCCTTAAACTAAGAGATTAAAATCACTTCATATCTTTCTTTCTACGAACTAATTCTTTCTTCTTGTACTATATCTCTATATGCAATCTTTCTCTTATATATTACCACCTTTGACCTAACCACTCCTATGAATCCGCTGTTCATCTTGCTGTGCTAATGAGGTATGGAAACCTGGACTGATGCACATATGTGCCTGGTCCTACGTTGTAGCTGACTGACTGACACTATCTTGAAACACCGACTTCGGTGGCTTTGACATATTCTACGAATGTCGTCCCAGAGAATTCATCTTCGTGCATTATTTGCAGGCGCTGGGACTGGTTGGAAGAAGCGGAGAGGTGGTCAGTGTATGACATGGTGTCGTAGTATGAAAGAAAGCTGCTGCAAATGGCTGGCTTGTGTTGGTCCTTCACGACTCCTTGGTTGGGGTCCGAGACATGGTGCAACACAGTGGCTAGTGACGTTATCAGATATGTCTCAGAATAGAAGCCAATGGCGATCCTGCTGTAACCATCTTTGCTTTCTTCATAAAAAGTGGTTGTTTCTTCCTTAACTGAAAGATTTCTGATTGTAGCTTTCCGTTTCCCCCATTATTATTATTATTATTATTATTATTATTATTATTATTATTATTATTATTATTATTATTATTATTATTATTATACCACCTTACAATAATCTGTTCGTTATTGTTCCTTTTTTTACGCTCCTTACCTTTTTTTCTCTTCGAATTCTCATTCTTTTGTGTGGCGCATATATATTTGGTGCCCTCTTGTACCAATATTTATGTGTTCAACTAAGTAAATAATAAATGCTGTACCAATTATAGATTGAATTATCAGAAACTTCCTTTCTGTTAACACCAGTAAATACACAATACTAGTGGTGAACAGTAATGATACATCCATATTGTATATTCTGGGTGATCCCACTATCATACTTTTAACTATAGTAAAAATTGTTGGAGTCTCACTAGATAAAACTCTAGGGGTGTTTCTTTCTATTGGGATAATGTAGTCAATACCCCATACTGTTAGAATTTATTTCCAGAACATCAATTAGCCTGATTCCTTAACTGTTAAAAACGTTTTCAGTGTTTACCCAAGATCTCATTTGGTAAAGTCCCCTGCATTATGTCTAATTGTCATAATAAGGATGTTGCTCTCTTGAATGTTCTCAAAGAAGGGAAACCAACAAGTTATTTCGACTAAACAATAAACCATACTTAGCTGGCCTTAACTGCATTAAACTTACAACCTGCGTAGTACACAAGGGTTAGGGATATTTAATCAGAATGTGTTATATAATTCACAAAATTTTACTAAAACAGTTCACTTTATATGATTCAGTGCTACAACACATCTAAGAGGACATATGCTGAGGATACAAAATGAAAGAGCTTGCACAAAAATTCGTGATAGCGTTTTCATGGTTATAATCTGTAAGTTGTAGGATTCCTTACTAAAGGCCATAGTAACGACACTTGTAGCATGTTTACATTCAATTTGTCAAGTCGGATCTATATTGCTCCAGTGCGATCAATTCTACTGTATATTTGCGAAACCTAGCCTCCAGGTTAAGGATGTTCGGAAAATTTATTCGATGATCGTTACGTCTGAGTGATTGTTGACTCCCAGTGACAACGTGGTAATAATATAGTGGTTTGGCGATGTGTGTTTCAACACAGGGATGACAATTCCATTAGTCACCAGCTTGAAGTACCGGCTTCGGCGGCTTGGACATGTGTTACGAATGTCATCCCAATGAATCCCACATCATCCGTTACTTGCCGACTCTAGGACAACGTGGAAAAAACAGTGGGGTGGTTATTTCATGATATGACATTGTTTTATGAAAGAAAGCTGTATAAGACTGGAATTTGTTCATCACGATCGACTGTTTAGGGTCTTGTAGGTAGTGCGACTCGGAGACTCAGGACGCTGTCATACATGGCTCAAAACAAATGCCCATGGTGATCCCGGTCTAGCTTTCCTTTACATTCATAAAAGTGAAAGGAACTCCCCTAACTGAAAAAAGTAATTCTGTTTTGTATATTAACCGAACTGTTTCCCTATTATATACTGTTCTCGCTCACTTATTTTTGTTCATTTAATCTTTTCTGATTATATTCTCCCTTCGTCTATCCCTATTTGTGGCGCACATTTATTTTGGTGCCCAGTTGTTGTAATGTATGTGTGCTTAATAAATCCGCTACAGCGACTTTCTGAAGTTCTGGAACTGAGTTATTGACGTCACTTACAGTATCATCAGTATCCGTTATCTGTCTTTTATTACTTATATAGTTCATTTTGTCCTCGGGAAGTTTTTAAACGGATTTCATCACTTTTATAGCTTCAATATATCTAGTGGTTTCGCCCCATTCTCAGTAGAGTTAGCGTGAATGTGGTTTCTAGCACCATCTAATAAAAGCTGGCGTTCGTCCACAACTGCACCAGTTGTTGAAATTACCATAGTACATCCCTATATTGACAACGTGCCTGAGCTACGTATAGTAAAATCGGACTCACAAGAAAGGATACTAGACCAAATGACTTGTGTGCCCCTTTGTACCGATATTTATATGTTCAAATAAATAAATAACTAGACTAAGAAAAGCAGAAATGTTATATGAAGAAAAAAGGCAAATAAACATTGACTAAAATGCTTTCAGTCAAAGTTTATTTGATAGATCTTCACGTGAAATGTGTGATCTTATACTTGCGACCTGCCAGTTGGGGACCGAATGTTTTTATCACTAGACCATTACTCAATCACTATCCCTAAATGTGTTGCAGAAGTCCAACACAAGGCCTACGTTTTTGTTCAGGAAATAAATAATTATTGGTGAAGTCGTTACTCATCACTTTAGTGTTAATGTTTCTGGATTCTCTGCCTTTATTGCCTCCAATTTTTCCGCTACTGTTGTTATTACTGTTCTAACTATTTTGTTTTATCTTCTGTCGATTCCACCTGTAGCTAGATTTAGTTAGGTGAAAAACATATAAGACTGTTCGAACTAAAAACATACCAATGTTTGATAAGAACCGCTTACCGAACTTAAGGATTTAAACCAATTATTCTTTTTTTATAAACTTTGATAGAACAATACGAAGATGGAGTTGATTTGAAAAGTGTGATTTATTTGCACCATACATTGCATTTTTTATATCTACTCTGTTTTTGATTGTTCCATCAAAAGTTAAGGATTCTGTGTTGAAATTCTTAAAATAGTCAGAGTCGCGACGGTTTTTTATAGAGTTCATAATTCATGGAACTCACGAACGTATGAATCGTCTATATTGTGAATAACTGATACTTTTTGTTCTTCGTTTGGAATTTTCCTTAACATCTGTTTCCTTTAGTTCCTAGTTGATATTGTATTTAATATTTCTTCTTATTGATTTCTCACTATACTGATGCACAGTATAGCGACTTTGACAAGTATTCCAATACATAAGGTTCAATTTATTTTCATGTCCGGTTATCTCAAATGGTATCAGAATTCAGATAAGTGACCCTGTAATTTAAAGTCAAATATTTAAACCAATCATCATAAATTACTTTCTGCTGAAACAGTAACTCATTCCCCAATTATTATTTTCCTAATAATTATTCTATATCGTTTCCTTTTACAAAACTTAGGAGGTAGTTGAATTCTTTAGTCGGGATGTTGATTACGTCATAACTAATCGGATATCATCTCGATTGGCATCACCTACTATTGATGAATCACCGGTTAGATCGTCGAAACAATCCACTTCGCTTCACAATCAGCTCTCATCTACTTCGCAAACACCAAACAATCTCAAAGTTCCTGTGCTAATAGGAAGCAAACCTGTTAATAGCCCGGTAACACGTGGTAGAGCTATGTTACTTGCCGCACGCAAAATCGCTACTGAAGATTCTAATTCTACTTCATCAGGTATTACAGCCTCATCGATATTAAACCAAGTAAGTTGGTTTTTATTCAACTGATTTAAATCATCACCGCAAATGCCTTTTTCTAGTATCGGTGATACTTTTAGACTTGTGTCAAAAACTACATTTTCAGGGTAGGAACCCATGTTAATAGACAAAACCTAAATGAATAGATTCATGGCAAATGATATGTTAACTAAATCTGACTGACCAATACATGTTACCCCTGTTTGATACTTTGAATGTCTAACAGTTTTAAGATTGTTGGTCCTGAATATGGTGATACTAAGAGGATGTTGTAATGTGGTCTCCATTTCGCAATAATTTTGTCTTTATACTTGCGATGCAATAACAGTGAAACTAATGTAGTCATGATAATCTCAAGACTTCCAGCTAATGTGTTTCGGCCCCAATCATATCACGGAAGTCTACGTTTAATCTGCCCTCGCTCTTTATCGTGTTTGAAAGCTTAACGAGGTGGGTTTCTGAGTATATGTCAATTCGGTAAATGCTAGAGAAATCCACTGGTCTTTTCCTTAGGTAATGAGAAGTTAACATTGCCTTTATAATGTCCTAATTTCACTTATATCTTTAATTATATTTCGTGATTTTCTTACTTTTATTTGAAATTTAGGCTCAAACATCCAATGATGTATCTGTTGCACCTATACAATCTCAGTCATCATCTATGTCTTGTGTATTGGGATCTAGCCGAAAGTTAAATTCAAATAATGACCTGTTATACAAAGCTCGTCAGCTAGGTATTAAAATTCTCTCTATTGACAGTAAGTTTTACTTACCCTTGTTTGATATTAAAGCAATTACGTGGATGTATGTCAAATTTTTAAAAAAAAGATAACTAATGTGTGTTTAGTCAAAGATGGTACATTATATTTATTTGAACTTTTTATGTGGTTGAAAGTAATCGTCTAAGATGATTGGGTCATGTATTATACGTGCCCAACCACCGATTACCATGGAAGAAAGTTAGGGGTGGTCAAACCAAAACATGGCATCAGTCCTTGAAGTCACTAACTTCTGGCCTGAACCATGTTGGTAGATGCAGACTACTTTGTTGGGGTCCGACTATCGTAACAAACAGTTGGAGACTGTATGATATAACTCAGAATCGATCACAATGGCGTCGGTATATACACTCTTTGTCTTCCCTTAAACCGTGAGATTAAAATTGATTTATACCTTTCTGTCTACGAGCTAGTTCTTTCTTCATGTATCATATCCTTATATGCTATCTTTCTTTTATATGTTAGTACCATTGAATTGACTACTTCTATGAATTTGGTGTTCATCTTGTCTAATGAAGTGTGGCAACTTGGACCGATGCATATATGTCTGGCCCTACGATGTAGATGACTGACTGAATCGATAGGAAACCTTAAACCTCATTTTCATCCTAGTTAGCACACGTCAGCAAGGCGTCCCTGGATATGTCCGTCATAGGATAAAATAACTGCACTGTTTTATGGTATCAAATTTAAGTTTTTTTATGACTAGTAAATCAGGAATACTGGAAATGACTGGTGAGTTCCAATCTTACATGAAGTTATTATTAGTAAACCTTAAATGGATGGAAATTAGCGGAATCAAAAATAGTTTTCCAAGCTTGGAAATCTAAGAAAGAAATATAACATCTAGAATGTTTGGGATACATCTTTATGTCGGCGTAACTCACTGCTTAAAGTCGATGCTAGCTAGATAACCATAGTGTTTGCTTAGGTCACTGGATGTAAGCTTTAGAAAAATGCTTTCTCAGTATTTTAGGGCTGTGATAGATAAGCACCTGTTTCTATTAATACGACTTTCGCAGAGATTGGATTTTCTGAATACAGTTGACTGTAATGTATTTATCTCAGTGGTTCTTGAAGGGTGTAAGTATGAATTTATTCTGATCTCAGTAAATATTATTTAGGTTGTAAGAATATTTCTGTACAAGTGTTTATTTCAGCTTTTAAAAATAATCGCCTAGGCTTTGTCCTAAAACCGCACAGACATAAATTTATAGCAGTTCTCGGTAAATATCTGAACATCTCACTTCTTGAGATTTGTATATAAGCATTTCTTACATACTAAAGTTGAAAATGAGTTAATATTAGTTGATAATTTCCGAAGTTTTCACATAACTATCTCTTACTCCTACTTTAGGAACCATACTACATTCTTTTGTTTATCACTTGTCAACCATCGGTTTTATTCACGGATCAATTGTAGGTTTATGCTCCAGTACACGTCTATTCAGCATTTTGAATAATTTTATTTCTTGTAGTAATTTATCTCCGTATTTTCTGGGTTTTTTTTATTGTAGCTGTAACGAAATGGATAAAAAATCTTCCATCAGACGTTCAGTCATATATTCAGGTAGATATCTCCTTTGTTGTATTAATATTTTTTGCGATGTTTTTTGATGCCTAGCTGTTTTCCATTTTTTCAACCGTATCCGGGATGTTTTATCTTTTCCATTATCATTGATCCTACTTCTATTTTGACCCATGTCTCATCGGTCTTGCTAATTTCATCTCGCCGTGTTGCTAGGGTATATCCACATTTTTTATCGCAAATCTTACTATCATAATCTCCACTTGCACATGTGACATAACCATTCGATACACTGATACCTGTTAAATATTATTAATGCACAGATGAAAACATCTCAATATTATGCTTACTGGAAATAACTGGGTACCAAGATTCACTTTATAAAAACATTCGTTCTGTAATTGTTTGAATAATTTTTCTTCTGGTTAGCGTTTTTTGGCGAGTTAGTTTTCTACGAGATGGGATCGCTAACCCCATGCCCAACCCTCCTCCTTTATCCGGGCTTGGGACAGGCAGTAGCCCCCAGAGGGACTCCAGGCGGAGTTTTGTGTAATTGTAAATACGTTTAATTGGCTGATGGTCTATGTTACACTTGTAATTAATTTAATTAGGTGTTGTTTTTGTCGTTATTCTAGTGGTTTAATCAACTATTGCGCTGTTGATTAAACTGTTTTATCCTATTATCTTATAGTCTATACAACGAACAGATCATGATGATCATCTCGACAAGCTAACTAATGATCCAGAGCGTGATAGGATTCATGAAGGTAATTCTTCGAATCTTTGTTCCAAGTACTATATTGTGTAAAATTTCTTGAATGTTTTTCTGATAACCTCTCGAACTCAATAAGTTATCACATTAAAGGTAATAATCAGGTTTTGAGTTGTCTGAATCATCATTATCATCATGACTGTTTATTATATATTGTACTATTTTTAAACTAACTCATTCTACTGGCTTCTGTCAATAACTAGTAAGTTTTTTTATTGATGCAAATGAGGTAGAATGTTGACACTTAACAACTTGACTGTATTTTGTGCTTAAAATTCGATTTTTTTCGTTTAATGCATCTGGTCAAGTTGGGCCTAAATTCATATGAATCACATACTAACAAAAATGTTCACAGATAACATACATTAATTCGATCCTAGTGTCTTTACTGTCTATCTTCACTAGATCATCTTTATAAAGTTATTCAGTGTTATTGACAAATTTCCAATTGACTTTGTCGCATTTAAGTGTATTTGATCGAGTAGACTTGCTTTACCAATCATTTAGAGCAGAACAATTCCTAAACGTTTAATTTCATGTACTTCGATAGTTACCTTGATTTGGGGACACTTGTTTAATATTTCTAAGTATTCTTATTTCGGGAGTCGCATATTTAAATAAAAGTTTAGCCTTTACCAAGATTGTTTGCAGGAAACATTTCACTGATATTTTATTATCAGTAAGGAGTTATGGAGATTGTTGACTTTAATCGAAATCATGGACCAATCAATTTCGGACCACCATTAGACAACTGGAAGCACTGTACGGCCGTTTTATCCTAGTTTAAGATTTCTTGGCAGTGCACATCCACGATCTCGCACATGGGACTCGCAAACTCGTCCCATCAGGTTCCGAACATGATGAAGAGCGACAACAAATCAGATCTAGGTTAAGAAAAAGTCTAAGAAACGACCGTGAGCAGTGGTGGGCAATGAAAGCAAAAGAGATGGAAAAGGCGGCGACTATAGGGAACACAAGACAGCTTTACAGACTAATAAAAGAAACTGGAATTAATAAGTCAAGTGTAAGTGAGATTATTTCGGAAAAAGACGATACTCTCATCTGCTCCCAGTCCAGACGTTTAGAACGATGGGCGGAACATTTTAGAGAACAGTTCAGCTGGCCTTCAGCTTCTCTGCAACTACCCTCCATTCCCAGACAATGTGAATGGAACATTGAAGTAGGTCCCCCAACTCTTACTGAAGTTCAAAAGGTTATAGTTAATCTGAAACGAGGAAGGACAGCTGGTCCAGATGGACTGGCTCCAGAGGTCTTTAAGGATGGTGGTCCAATTTTAGCGATTAGGTTGACTAATATTTTAGCTAAGATCTGGGAGTCAGACGTTATTCCATCTGACTGGTCGCAATCACTTATCGTCCCAATATATAAGAAAGGGTCAAAATCATCCTGTGACAACCACAGAGGGATTAGTTTAACTAATATAATATCTAAAATACTGGCCTCGATAATTATCAAACGCCTAACTAAGACTCGTGAACTACAAACTCGAGAGAACCAAGCTGGCTTCAGATCTGGTCGTGGCTGCATCGACCACATATTCACCATTCGTCAGGTTCTAGAACACAGGCATACTTATCGGCGTCCGACAATGGTGGTCTTTCTCGACTTAAAAGCAGCATTTGACTCTGTAGACCGCGAGATTCTGTGGCAGTGTCTGTCATTGAAAGGCGTACCTCAGAAGTACATAAACCTTGTGAAGGCTCTTTACTCGAACACTACTAGTCGAGTCAGGGCTTATGGCGAACTGTCATCTACTTTTGCAACCTCAAGTGGTGTCCGTCAAGGCTGTCCACTTTCTCCATTTTTGTTCAACTTCATGAAAAACATACTGATGGAAATAACATTCTCGTCGACTGAGTTCTCGGGTATTGATCTCCATCCAGGAGGTCCACTTATCGACTTAGAATACGCAGATGACATAGTCCTGTTTGGTGAAGACGCTGATAGAATGCAGAGTCTTCTGGTAGCACTAAGCAACAATGCCAGAATGTTTGGGATGCGCTTCTCTCCCTCTAAATGCAAGTTGTTGCTTCAGGACTGGTCTGCGTCAACACCTGAACTAAGGATAGGGAGTGAAGTAGTCGAACGCGTTGACAACTTCACTTATCTTAGAAGTCTGATCAGCCCTAATGGGTTGGTGTCTGACGAAATCTCAGCACGGATTCGAAAAGCTCGTTTGGCTTTTGCCAACTTACGTCACCTTTGGCGGAGGCGAGATATCCGTCTATCAATAAAAGGACGAGTATACTGCACGGCAGTTCGTTCTGTTTTAATTTACGGCAGCGAAACATGGCCCTTAAGAGTAGAAGACACCCGTAAGCTACTAGTATTTGACCACAGATGCCTTAGAAATATTGCTGGCATCTGCTGGGATCACCGGGTAAGTAATAATGAGGTTAGACGCAGGGTATTAGGGAATGATGGTAAATCAGTTGATGAGGTTATGAATCTTCATCGACTGAGATGGTTGGGCCACGTATTACGTATGCCTGAACACCGATTACCACGACGTGCAATGCTAACCGGTGTAGGGGATGGTTGGAAGAAAGTTAGGGCGGCCAAACCAAAACGTGGCATCAGTGCTTGAAGACACTAACTTCTAGTCTGAGCCATGTTGGTAGATGCAGACTACTTGGTTGGGGTCCGCGTGACTTTCGTAACCAATGGTTGGAGACTCTTGGTGACATGGCTCAGAATCAATCACAATGGCATCGGTGTATACACTCCCTGTCTTCCCTTAAACTAAGAGATTAAAATCACTTCATATCTTTCTTTCTACGAACTAATTCTTTCTTCTTGTACTATATCTCTATATGCAATCTTTCTCTTATATATTACCACCTTTGACCTAATCACTGCTATGAATCCGGTGTTCATCTCGTTGTGCTGATGCGGTATGGCAACCTGGACTGATGCACATATGTGCCTGGTTCTACGTTGTAGCTGACTGACTGACTGACTGACTCGAAATCATGGCGTTTGGTCTCGCGTGAACGCTCAACCTCTAGATCACTGATCCGGCATCCAATGGTGTTAACGTCTAACTGGGTTTGGTTTCCGTGTGCGGGATGATGGATGCGCACTACCAAGGAGTCCCGTCTAGTGCTTCCAAGTTTTCAATTGTGGTCTAAGATTGATCGGTTCATGGTTTCATTATATTTTATTAGCTGTCTTCGATGCAATTATAGATTCTGGGCATTATACCATTAAGTGTTAAATCATCAATAATCTTTCCTCAGAGTGCACTTTAGTCTAACAGTTATAATTTCTATAGTAAATCATTTGATAAATAAGCGAGACAGACAGTTACCTGCCTGTTCTTTCCAATATCCTAAGGTACCATTTCGACAATCCTTTTCCATGTAAATAGCATTTTTCTTACAAGTATCTCTTGTCATAAAGCATACATATGAGATGTTTGTCAATGGTCATCAGAAAAAGGCTATTGTGATTCTAAATATATCCGCAATTTAGTTGTCTTTTTACCTTATGACTAAGCTTTCTATATAGACGTAGTTACAGTTTCTTAATTTTTTATGTTAAACTCGAATCAGTACGAATTTTATTAATAATCCTATTATAATAATATTGCATAACTTAAAGTTTTTATTATGTATTACTAATTTCAGTTCGACATCTAGTGACACCATGTATCAAAGTGATTGATACAAAAAGTCATTACCGACCTATTTATTTAGATAAAACAGACTACTTGCCTGACTTGTGGAATCTAACCAATCGTTATAAATCTAAATCTAAATCCCTTCTTGAAGTGGGCGTACATGATACTCCATCATCTCCGATCCCAATAACTACAACCAATACTACTGTTATCATTACTACTGCTACTATTACAACAACAGTTACTACTGCTAATGGGCCGTGTAGTGGTAGTGTCCCGGGAGCAAGCGTTGGTTTTACTCTACAAAATCCAAGTCATTGTATTCCCGGAACAGGCACTCAGTCAGTCTTAACACGCAGAGATAGTCGAAATAAACGTAAACATCGTCTTCAAAAACATAATACTGCTACTCCATTACAACGTACAGCTTCTTTAGTTGCTAAAGGAACGGAAAGGTAGATATTTTTATTGTTTCTTTTTACAACACGTAATCAAACTATAACTCATTTAAAACATATTTCGCACACTGACTAGGAGTAAACGTATTGTGAGGATAAATAACATTTGATATAGGACTATCAGAACTACAATTATATTTGAACCCATTTAAAACCACAGTACTTCATGTTCACTAAGGTTTTCAATAGAAACAAATACATTCTGAGAGCAAGCAACATTAGTTATGATATCACCAGAAAGTCATTCATTTTAAACGTTCGTCATACGATTTTGAATTTCACCCGATGCGACTGGATATAACGGATGGTTTATAGTATTTTGTTCCCTCTCTACGCGTATATTACGATAATACGTTAGTAAGACTAATCATGTTATATTAAAACCAGAATTCGTGGCCCAAAGATAAAGAACCAGATTAACAATAGAGAATACTTTATTCAATACAATCACAAGCAGTCACACACAGTGAATCCGGAATAGAAATCAATGATAAAAAGGTAAAGCGCATATTTAATAGTCCGTAGGCTGTGGTTGTTTGTTCACGCTCAACAGCAAATTGTAATTTGCTTTCACTACCACACATCACATATTTCCTTCTCATGCAGCTTTTTCCTCTGTCTTTACTAGGTCTTCCATGTGTTTCTTCCTATCAGTTCAAATACATCGCTCCATTTGCTTATTTGCTTCTGCGTATTCAGCTTGTGCCTTGACTTTATTTGTTCTTGTTCGACTGTTGTTAATTACTGTCTTATTCTTCTTTTCTTGAATCAAAAACAGGGTTTCGATAGAGCTGCATTCTTTATGTTGATGCTTGTTGTGGTTCAAAATCTCCTGACATGTTGCAGTTAGTTCTTCTTCTTTGAGTGGATCTTGTGAAGCTCGCAACCTGTTGTTGGGAGTTATCTTGAATTCATTGAGTTTGTAAGTATGTCGAAGGAAGTCTGTATTGAATCTTTGTAATGTTGTTTGTCCACTGCTTCTTTAGCATCAGCTTTCCTTTTGAGAACCGCCAGGTAGATGGTGATCTAAAGCTATTTTAGTTCCACTCCTTGTTCTCACCTCTTCCATTGACTTTGTGAATTTTTTAGTAATGCAAATATGATCGATTTCATTTTCTGTAGTGCGATCCAGTGAGATTCATGTAGCTTTGTTTATGCGTTTGTGTCGCCTATAACCATTTTGTTGAATGCACATAAATTTGCGAATCTCTCATTATTATCGTTTCTTTCTCCTAGTCAGTGCATGTCATCGCATGATATCTTGATACTCGGTGTTGTCCATTCCGACTTTGGCTTTTAGATCTCCCATCAGGATTGTCAGGTTCGTTCCTGGGTACTTCGCTATGATCGATTACAGCCTCTCATGAAAGCGATCTTCATCGTCGTCATTGATACTGTTGGTGGGTGCATAACATTGGATAAAATTCATTGTGATCCCTTCCTTCTTTGTTTTGAATGATGGTTTGATGATTCCGGATCCATGAGATTCCCATCCTATGAGTGCTTTACGTGCTTCTTTGGATAGCATCAGAGCAACCCTTTGAGTTTGTGGAGCATTTTCTTCCTCGCGACCAGAGTACAACAGCACCTCTTTCGAAGCTAATCTTTTCTGTCTAAATTGATTTGTCCTCCCACTCTCTCACATTCTGATGTTGCATTAGTCATTTTGATGTTGTGAGTCAGGTGATGGGGTAGGTAAATGATGACGTATTATGTGTCTATATGCATGTGCTAGCTCTATGCCCAGTGGTAGGTTAGAGATGTTAACTAAGATATACCATTATTTGGAGCTGTTTATGCACACTGGTAAGGTTAAGACTCATATCTGAGGGACGAATGTATGTACATACCAATAAGTTGTATAGATTATTATTCGGTTTGCCAATTATTTCTTAGTTATTATTGATCCTCTCGTTTATCAGGTAGGTTGGGCTCGATTGTAAGAAGTGTGTGTATCAATATCTAAATTGGATAACTTCAGAACGTAACACAAAACCACATTTTAAGTTGGTGGGTGGTCTACTTTATGTGAGTCATCCGTTTGACGATAGTCAACCCCAACATATTTCTGTTTAGGTCATTCAGGACACAAATCTGAACGTGTTGTAAGTATCATTTGTTCCGCTGTTGGCAGAATGTCTCCCACGTAGTCTTCGGGCCCATCTCTTTATATAGTGGGGTGTTTAAGAGTATGGAAATCGTGAATCATCGGTAACTAAATCGGACCTGGGAATGTCACTTAGTGGTTTACTTCCTATCTAATTTAGTGAGTAAACGAAACACCCGTACTTTTTTATACTGTGCCGTAATCCATGGATTAATAGTTTGAAATATAGCTATTGTTTATTAATTCATAATTAACTCAGTACTAATGCTTTCATTAAAATCTCTGTTAGTGTCTGAATACAGTGAGCAGTGCAAACAAAAGTACCAGTCTTTAATCATTAGATAGTAATTAAACTATTTTGTGAATAGATCAGTTTTGTGTAATTTTCGTTTTATTATTGTACATTGTATAGTAATCTCAAAGCTTCTTCGACTACTGCTGCTGTCAATGATGAACCATCGGGTTATTGTGAATGTTGTTCTACGAATTTTAAAAGTTTGCTTGAGGTAGGTCAGCTAAGTCACATTGTAAATAATGATAATTATAGCGTTTGACTCCAATATAATTTGGTTTAAAAGTAACGGTAGCTTTTCTTCGTACATAGTGCAATTGATAATTTGGTATTGATAACGAGTATCCATCATATATATTTCTTGTCTTTATGTAATAAACTTTTGAAATCTAGTTTATTGAAATTATTAGTGTGCTTCTCTTTACAATGTTGGATGAATGGGACATCCGAAAATAATAATGATCGCATCTGACGAATATGACTTGTATGTATCCTCAAGGTTCAATTTAGAAATTCCCTATTCATCAAGGATAAATCCCATATTCCCAAACAAATTTAGAAATGATCTGATGTTTAAAAATAATGAGAATTCAGTGAAGTTTTTTTTCTGACGAAATCACTTACTTAAGCTGTACCTTCATATGGATAGTTGTTTGGTAAGTCTATAAAAAGATAGAAAGAATCTCATCATAAAGTGATTCAAGATTTCAAATCTCAAAAAAACATTGCGTGATAATCATCAGGTTAGAGAGGAATAGAAGGTTGAAAATAATTTTTCCACTTGACAGATAGGAAGGAAAATGAAAAACATAACAGTCCTAATAATAATAATCGAACAATAATCATGAATTATAATAACAAACAACGATTTAAAATTACAGAATAATAATAAAAACAAAACAAAACCTAAAAATACTACAGAAGGGAATTCAAGTCCAGGAAGGATGAGGTTTTGAATGTATCGTTTTTGCACATAGAGCTTGGGCATGAATTGGTGGGTTTTATTTATTTAACCACATAAACATTGGTAAAAGGAGGCATCAGACAGGTGTGCGCCATATAAATCATTCGATTTGTGTGAGGACTGGGATACTTCCTCGGTGCTCAAACCGAAGCACGTGGTTTTCTCAGGAGGCCACACCCGAAGCCTTCGACATGAAGGTCTGATCAACAAAGTAGTGGAGCAACGTGAGGAGATGCAGTCCGATAGTAGCCGGTGACCAACAATTGGTTCATATGCCATTTGTTTAATCGGGATCCTGGAGCCCATGTACACCATTGGTTTGGAATTAGGGTTTTCCAACTCCCCTGGGTAAATCCTCCGTATCCACCAACCCGTTTAAAGCGCCAGACATTCGCTTTTCGTCCTCTTAATTTCGTAAACAACACCTCATTGCGAAAAGACAGTGAGTAGGACTTCCCTAACAGTGGTTGTATGCACGTGCCCACTTGAGAGCCATTTGGAGAAGGAGAGCTGACCCTCCCCACTTTCGGTCGTATTTAGTTCGACTTCTCTCCGATCCAGTTCTTTTAAGTGAATAGGATGTACAGCTTCAGTAAATGGTGTCTAGAAGGATGTTTTCTTCGCTAAGTTCTTTTTATTTCTATTCAATGACATAATGGGTTATTTTAATTATCTAAAATGCTTAGCCTGATCAATCAAGTCAGTTGACTTGTCCCCATGTGACTAACATACAAACACAGAGTAGCGCAAATGATATGTTGTGTTCTGCCAGAAAATAGTAAATACATTGTAGTGTTTCGTGTGGAAATTATCAGTCCTCAATAGAGATTATGGTTAGGATTCGTTGGGTTGTTAAGCTTTCTTAAGGGAGTGTGAGACCGTAGAGAAGTTAAGTAACTTTTAATAGTGGATCATGAGATGAATGCAATGTTATCGCTCTGAATATAAACTGTTCTATGTTTGTTTTAGTTGATAGCTGTTTGCAGTAAGCCTTACATTGTTCCTATTCATGCCGACATGCATTTACGGCCTTAATGATGCACTTGTTAAGGACGTGAAACTAAATCCTCCTGCATCACGGTAACAGACAAAATCTGTGTTGTTAACTAGGTTTAGATAATTAATGTCTTCACTATAATATTTGATATGGATTTTAAAAAAATGTTCTCTCACCTCAATTATTGTTATGAGTAAAAACAATGTACATCTTAGTTTTTCAATCGACCTCATGATTACTATCATTTCTGGTCAGGTCTAAGTTGTAATATGGAATTATCTAGCTCAAATTTTGGAAATAATCACAAAAGTGTCATATCCGTATATTCATTATTTTTATGTGTACTTTAATAAAAATAACATACCTTGAACATCGGTAACTTGCTTCGGGTTCGTAACAAACGGGAGCATGAAATTTCTTTTCTACTTTGAAAGCCTCTCAGTCAGTAGCAACGTAGAACTTCGTGCGCACGTAGATCAGTTCGGGTTGCCATACCACATTAGCACAAAGATGCAATTGTCGATTCAAATCCCGTAGTGTTAGAGGTAGTAAAAGTTTAAGCAGTAATCGGAGACATTAGGGTTTGAAGATGTTATTCAAGGAGTATAATCCAATGAAAGCCTAATTAATATGATTCATGACGTTTCGATTGATTAATAAGCATAAATTTATCACTGATTTATAGTCTTGAACTAAATTGTTTCGTGCACAGAACTACAAGTTTCTTGATTTAGGCTTTAACTTTCAGTGATTGAGTTCAATATATGTATATCACATATTTCTATTTCAGACTACTATTCAATTGCAATTTTATAATATAACTTGTGGCCTGAGTGCCCTGATAAGGTATAACGTAATGATACTGCCAATTAGAGAGCAGTGTATTATCGACCGTACCAATGACGCATAAAACACCTACGAGAAGTCTAGAGTCCTTATTGGTCCTGCCTTCCGCCTAGCCCAGCCAGTTAAGTCTAGAACAGCAATCTCATCCTCTGAAATATGAATCATTTATTTCAAACATACTGAGTTTATATACCAACTAAACCGACCACATCGTACCATAAAATGGAAAATAACATTTGTACAAGATTTAGCCAAATATGGCTGTGAGTGTGGGAGGTAGTAACTAATAGACAGGGCATAATTCAAGAATGGTAATTCGTATAATAACAGTTCATAGGTCAAAATGAAGCTCATAATAATAGGGACATGAATATGAATAGTTTAGTTAATTAACAATTATACGATAAAAATATACGTTTCGTATTGGTCCATCAATAGATTCCAAAGTTACCATTCATAACAATATGTAATTTCAATTTTCGTTATTTCATTTTATTTCTTAATTTTAGCATTTACATTGTACAGATCATCAGCAATTTGCTAACAATTCTGAAAATTATCGTCTTCTTGATGATGTTTTAAATAAGCTGCCAACATTTAAAGAGTTTCTAACAAAAACTGCATCGACTACTTTGCAACTACCATCTTATTTAAATCCTATTGCAATAAGTCCTTGCGCTTCTCAGCATGAAAAAGATTATCTCTTAAATAATTCCAAATGCGAAATGTTAGAAAAAGAAAATATACCTCCCATTCAAACAAGAATTAATGGAAATATTGAGTAAGTTTATTAGTTCACTAATTTTACTCATCTTTAAAACAAACCATACTTTAGTATAGAAACCAGAATAATCAAACAAATAATCATAAACACAATAGAATCCGATGTAGATGTTTATGTTTTACTTCAAATTGTTCGATCGAATCGCACTAACCACGTTGATGTGGAATGTCAGTTACTCCATAAATTAACATCTTATGGTCGGGTACAAATCAGTAATTAGTCATACGTAAACACTCAGACAAGCTTTATTTGATAGAGGCATTATCTTTTAGACTATGACTTATTTAAACACATAAACATTGGTAAAAGGAGGCATCAGACGGATATGCGCCATATAAATCATTCGATTTGTGTGAGGGCTGGGTTATTTCCCCATGCTCAAACCAAAGCAGGTGATCTTTTAAGGAGGCCACACCCGAAGCCTTTGATCTAAAGGTCTGATCAGCAAGGCAGTGAAGAAACGTGAGGAGATGGAGTCCGATAGTAGCCGTTGGCCAACAATTAGTGCATACTCCATTTGTCTAATCAGGATCCTGGAGCTCATGTACACCATTGGTTTGGAATTAGGGTTTTCCAACTCCCCTGGGTAAATCCTCCGTATCCACCAACCCGTTTAAAGCGCCAGACATTCGCTTTTCGTCCTCTTAATTTCGTAAACAACACCTCATTGCGAGAAGACAGTGAGTGGGATTTCTCTGTCAGTGGTTGTATGCACGTGGCCATGTAAGAGCATTTTGAGAGATAGAGAGAACTGACTCTCTCCACTCTCGTCGTACCAGGGCATTTGGTACTGATGTTTTGTATTCCCATTAATACAATACATCATCATAGGTTAGATTTTTAATTGTTTATCTGTCTCAGTTACTTATTTTATCATACATCTATTACATTTAATTTTAAATGTAGACAACTTCATAAACTTTCAGCCGTCAGTAAAATTTTCAACATGGTAAAACCACTGAACAGTTTTTATTGATGCTAATATGTATCCAATGTCTAAATCAATATATTTGAAATGTACCTGATCAGTACACTAACTAACGGTAAATTTACTTCCGCTTTCTATTCCAGACCTGTCTCTGTTTCACAGAAGTCACAATCTACACTAAATGACTATGAAAATATTTCTAAAGAAATCAATGTTCCTCCAACATTAAACTTTTCTGAACCACTTGGACCTAATCAATTTACTGATGGAAATTCCGATATATTCAATAATACTGATTTAGACGTTTGTGAAATATCAAATACCGCTGTTGTTGTACATAATAATCTTGAAAAATTATCTAAATTAGATCAAGAAGAGGCTGCATTTCTTTTTTTACTTTAATAAAAGAATTTAACATTGAGAAAACAAAGATATTCCTATTTTTCTATCAACTTTTTTCTCTCAATTTTTAACTATAAGTGCTTTCATTATAATGTCAAAAGAGACTGTTCGTAGAAATGTAATTTACCCTTACTACATATATAAATGTTCAGTTTGCAAAAGGTTTCCTAGTAAAATATTTGTACGATGATGTATATATACAACATATATGTTTAGCATTTGTATTTCAATTTGATAATTTCTAATTTCTCTTGAATGTGTCAAATAAAGTGTATGCGGAAATTCGTTGATAATTAATTTTTTTTAAAAGTGTTATTACTCACTAGCTAGATACAGTTTCAGTTACTATGCAACATCTGGGCTACTTGTCTCTGTCTTCTAGATATTTCAACAAGTTATCTGTTTTTGCTTGTTTTAACATATAATTATGCTTATTAATCGTACAACCCAGTCACAGATATCGTGGTTGCTTGCAATATGCAGCGAAAAGAATGTACATTATTCAGATGTCAATTCCTGGACTGCTAACTTCTAACTGGTGACCATTCAATATTTGTCGTCAGGATTGACCAAGAAGTAAGAGACCGAAACTTGTTGAGATACTTTTGTGCTGAGACTATGTTGTACTAAAAATATAATATTGGAATATAATATTCGAATTATGTAAGAGTGGGAAGACTACTATCACTTTTATATTTTAAATTTTAGATGAGACGTAGATTCAATAGGACTGTACTGCTTATTAAACAAGAATGTGACAACAGCAAGTTATGATTTACGTAGAGACTAGCATAAATGTGCGTTAGCTGAAGTTGCCATTAAAAATCAGTATGAGATGAAACTAATAAAAGGGAATAATAATAGTACCAATGATAGTGATTAAAACTATAATTGAATTTGAGATATTTGTAAAAGAATGTATGCTTAAAGGCGATGATGCACACCAGTTTTCAAGCAATTGAGGAGCAGAAACATATCCCATATATTCACCGTCCTCAGAGGAGATTCGAAGTTTCCGGTAAAGCGGGCAACATTAGCAAACACCAGTTGAATCTGACGATTCTAATGACAGGTCATTTTTAAGTTCTGACTCAACTAAGTGTTCATATAAAGAGCCTTCAAAAACCACATCCACTTATTCCGTACACCTATTAATGATGAAAAATACCTCAAAACTCGAACCAACGGATCGGACTGTTTCATCACTGTTAAGAAATGCAACTTCGGTCGTGTGTTGGCAATTATGTCTATGTTTCGTAGATATGGTCCAACCGACCTGTATAAGATTTAGGTAACAACATAAAACGTTTCTTTGCAGATGCAATGTATTTTTACTGCTATTTTATCCCCCGATTTGCTGCCTTATTCTCAGAAGAAAAGGGTTCAAGAAATCTGGAAAACAATTAGATTCGGTCGATTAGAAGTAACGGGCGTACGATCGTTTTTCTTATGTTCACACAATTTTGCATCATTGACTGTAATTTGTTCAAGTGTAAAGTTGATAAATTCTAACGAACGTGCACTGAAGTATAGTAAATAGACTATCAAAACTACCTCATAGATAAGGCAACCACTATGCAACTTCCGATACATATATAATGGAATACTATCTTGAAATCTTGATTGGTTAATTGAGATTTATTTGTGATTTCATTTTAGTCACCTGACTTGACTCTACTCATATTACCTTATTTATTTACATAATCTCTGTGAACAAATTATTTCATTAAATATTTCCAATGATACACTGAAAAGACAAGCTGAACAAAGAAATATTTCTTTCCAACTAGCTCTTCGTTAATATAAGTTTTACAAATGAGTTTAATAATCTTGTTATCTAACTTCCACTCCATCCGTCGTACTAATTACTTATCCTTAATTTCACAGTGAAAAAAAACCCAGTTTCAATTCCTATTCCTACTCTTATGTAACTACTTGTAATAATCAGCTGATTATGAAAAGTCACTTTAGTTTTAATTTTCTAAACGTTGTGTAGCTAACTGATTACTATATTGTTAAGTTGACTGATCACCAACTAATTGGTACTGACTTCCTACTCATTTGAAAAAAAACATAAATATTGGTGTGGAGTCCTGATGAGGAACTAGTTGAAGAAAAATATTTCTTTGTTCAACTTATCCTTATCATAAACTATTTGTAACTTTCATCATTCTTGGCATAGAACAGAACATATAGATAGACAGTCCAATATTACGGTCCGTAAACATCCCAATTCACTAATGAACAAAACGTAATGAGGAATAGTCATGATAATAATCAAACGGCTCAATTTTCCCAAGGAAACGTTTTCACCGTGACTGTGCTGACTCTAAGGCAAAGTAAATGCATTACGATCTCATATAAATAAGTAGTAATTAATTAATAGAAAGTGAGCAGATTCACCTTTCCTTTTTTAATGATATAACCAACACAAGGTAGAAATCAGACACTAATTCCTATGGAAAAACTTTCTATTTTAATAAAATATGAAAAATTTGTAAAAAAAAGACAATAAGTGTAACTAGAAACAAAATTGAAAGTGAAGAAAAGAAAAAAAGAACTGAATTCAAACGAAACCATGATATTGATCACAGACAGCTGAAAGAGGAAATTTCATAAAAGTTCATTATCGTCAAAATCATGACACTGAACACATTTAACAACAGAATTAGCAGCAAGCACTCATAGAACGAGGGTTGTTCAAAAAACTTGTTTGACATGGTTATACCAGTACTTGCTCATGATTTGATTCGCCATTATTCATAACACTATCATTGTCTTCACTAATGTCGTCGTTTTCAGTTGTATTTTGAATGTTTTGAGGAGCAGCCGAGAATAACAATAGCGATTCAGACTTAAAATGTATGCCTGACTGGCGTCGTACAACAGACCAAACGTATGGTATGAAAAATTCATCTGGGGATTCTTCTTCTACATATTTAAATTTCAGATCTGGGAATTTCTGGGGTACAAAAAGTAGAATACAAAGAAAATGTGTAAGCTAGGGGAGGAAAACATGAAACTAGTTGTCATTACTTTATGAGGGTGACTTACACTTTTCTTTATATGTTAATATAAGTCTATGATGTGAGTAGTTAGTGGACAACAACTGATATAACCAAGTTTTATGGCATATGAATCACTAATTATCAAGTGAAACCAATTCCAATTCTCACCTATATACTGGGGATAAAAGATGCGGCGGCACTGAAAAGAAGTCTTCCTGCTGCCTAATTAGTTTCACTATACAATACCAAGTGTTTTTTACACCATTCAAAAATACATCTATATCCTCCCGATGTCATATCCAATTACATTTACGAATTTACATGTACCTGCCGTAGTAAGTATATAAGAAGGGCAGAGAGAAGAGCCTTTACTAGGTTTTCTGAACACATTCCCAGTGGACATGACGTGAATGTGGGTAATGGATCTAATATAATAAACGAATAGAAAACAGCGATTTTATTCCGTTTGGCTGAGGCAATCGCTTTCAAACGTTTTTGACCTGATCTATATATACAACAGGAAAGGGTGATTAACCTTTCCGTGCCATTATGATTGGATACTTATCTTATAACTTCTATGAAGTTCGTTTATTCAACCCTGTCCACAAGCTTTTTATCTTTAATATTCCTTTGTCTTCTGAAATTCATCTATCACACAACCTTAATGATATTCACATACTTGTTTATTTTATCGTGTTGTGTAATTATCTAGACACCAACTTCATCACTTTCACAACATATATTATCTTGATTATGATTATTAAGAACTATAACATCTGTTCTACTCTCCATTATTACTTTACAGTATAGTGATACACGTTGATCTTAACTATGTTTCTTCATACACTTTGGGTCAAATGATTTTAGTAACATACCGAACATTTACTTAAATTTCACACACTAAATTATGCTAATAAACTATGCTAATAATTATATTAATAATCTTAGTTTTAGGTTGCATGCAAATGATGAAAAACCGTGAAAGAGAATGAATTCATTTTATTTTTTAAACCTTGTTATTCTTGCTCTGTATACATTTATTAAGGGATCTGGGTGGATGAAAGGATTTAAAGTTCCACAGAACCAAAAAACGAATATAATCGACAGTCTATTTCTGAAACACGAGATTTTATTCTGAACACATACTACAAGTACTTAATGCTAACACGCAAATATATAGTTCATACAAGAAATTCGCTTTAAATACTGTGAATAGAATTCATAAACAAACCACCGTTAATACTATTTTCTATCTTATAACCATTTTCTCATTAAATAAATACACCGTCGACGCTCAACTGTAGTTTGAGCTGACATTTTGCAAATATGTTCTTTATCCTTAATGTCTTACGTCAACTAAGCGCCTAAATATTGTGAAACTAATCATTTAAATTTGTACGAAAGTTCTTAAAAATGAGATAGTTGTATAGCTACGACAGATTTACAACAGATACTCAATGAATTACATAGGCAACTACTAGTTGTGATCAGAAAAAGCAATTTTCATTGGTAACAGTGAATTGTATAAAAATCCAGAATTTCGTTTATTGTTAACCATCTGTTTCTACTTTTCACTTCCTGTCATCAATTTTGTTATTATTTAAAGTAGACAAAGATTAAAAAACGTGAAAAATTATAAATTTTACCAGGATAATCGATAATATTTGTTAAATTACTTTCAGATTACAACTTCTTTGAGTATTACCAACATGTTTTATAATCACTTGCATAACAGCTTGTGGTTGAGTTGGTTGAGGTCCTAATTCTAATTCAATTTTCTTTGAAAAATGAGTTAAAACAATATCAATGTTTTGTAGTACATTCTGAAATTTCAAAATTATGAAATACATATTATGATGTTATATTGGAATTAAACAACTAGTACAGATACTTGAATCTTTTTATCAATAAGAAACACGGATATAAGCGAGTTTATCATTAGAAAGATGAAAAGTAATTAATATCTAGACCATTAAATCAAAGAATAATAATCATTAGTGAAGTTGGAATAGAGGGACTCGATTGGCCATGCTACTACTGATAACGAGGTAGGTGCTTGTTTAGATAAAATGCAATATTCAGATACTAATCATATGAGTTTTAATACAGTGAAAACGTTAGTCAGTCCTATGCAGCATTACCTAATTATTTACGCCCGTTATACCTTGTGTTAGAGTATAGGCCGGCCATCAGTATTTTTCATCCACCTCTGTCCTGGAAAATCCTTCCCAGTTGCTATTCAACTCAATCATTCTTGAAGGAGAAGCTCTGGAACACGTGGAAACTTTCACGTATCTGGTCAGCACCATCGATGAACAGCGCGGATCTGATGCAGACGTAAGGACAAGGTTTGGAGAAGCAGAGGTAGTATTCCTACAATTGAGGAACATATAGAACTCAAAACAACTGCCAACCAATTTTAAAGTCTGAATCTTCAATACGAATGTCAAGACAGTCAGTCCTACTGTACGAAGCTGAAACGTGGAGAACTACTACAGCCATCATCAAACATCTACAAGTATTTATAAAAATTGTCTAAGCAAGATATTCAGTATCTGTTGGCCGGATACCATCAGCAACAACCTATTGTGGGAGAGAAGAAACCAGCTCCCATCTGAAGAGGAAATTAGGAAAAGACGATGGAAATGAATATGACATACATCACGGAAATCATCAAACCGTATCACTAGAAATGTGCTAACTTGGGACCCTAAATGGAAACTGAAAAGAGGAAGACCAAAGAACACACTACGTCGAGAATTCGAAACAGACATGAAAAGGATGAATAGCAACTGGGAAGGGTTGCCCAGGACATAGTTGTATGGAGAATGCTGGAGAGCGGCCTATGCGCCTCCATGAGGGATAACAGGCGTAGGTTATTCCTTTTACAACCTACTATCCCAGGCACACTAGTTCCAATTCTATGTTTATAGTTACAAAGAAAAACGGTCTATGCATCTGCTTTTAAATTAATTACATAATTACGTATTGTGAAAAATTGTGTTGCCAGTATTGAAATATCGCAGAAGTAAATCTATCGCTTAATTTCAGCGTCGAAACAAATTTGTTCTAATAAGCAAATTTGATGGTCAGATTATTGAAGAAATTAAAGTTGACTAGAACAGTGAGCATTTGTCACATTTTGATTTTTTGGGATGGGTTTATGTAAGTGTTTTTTGAGTAGTTCTTTCGTAGCAATCACTACTATATTACCTGAAAATGATTAAAGATAAAGGTAATGGAAAATTCAATTACATGAACAACTCTAACCTGAAACGATGGATGTGAACGAAGTGATGTGAATGAATCCCTTCTATACAAAAGAGAATAAATTAAATCTGGATTCGACACCATCGTATGTGTAAGAATTGAATTAATAATTTCTAACAGCATTCGAATTACTTCTTCCAGTAAGGCTAATTCTTGAACCTACAAAAAAAACAGATATTGGTCGTAGGTTATCGTAACGAGGGTAACAACTAAAAAAATATTAGAGATAGACAAAACCTGTCTGTGATAGGTAATTTTCAAATGAACGTTAAGTTAATATTAATTGTTTTGCTGTAAAGAATTAAACAAAGACCTTCATTACACACGTTGAACTATAAATACAGGAGGTTAAATGATGAAATTCATTTTAAAACACAAATACGAAATCAGTAATTTTGTGAAGAAATTTGATTAGCTTTATTTGTACTTTAAGAAGATACAAACGTTTATTCTTTGAATTCTAAACGACTTAACAAGGTCAGACCTTCAATGAAACTGATATTTCAACTTACTACTGATAAGGATATTAGTAGATGATTATTCCTGTTCTGTAACTGAGCAAAACTACGAATATGTTGAATAAAATTATATGTGGGAAATGTTAAAATGTGCATCATCACATAGAAACTAGTATCTTCTACGCACGTTCAGTAACAAAGCGCTATACGAAGCAAAGGTTATAACACTACTACTCGTAAGATAATTACATGAAAATAATGAGTAAACATAGAAAGTGTTATATCCTAGTGAAGATTACATTACGAGTAACGTCTGAGACCTATTAATGGACTAATATTATTTATATATTCTCATGGTATAAATATTCAGTAACTAGATTATGTATATTTATATTCCTCTTATCATAAGCTTTATTTTGTTCTATAAGTTATTTTTGTACGGTTTACTGTTCTTAAGCTATGTTCAGTTTATTGACTACTTCCTCCCACGTTCACAACCACTTTTTGGCCTTATTGTGTACAAATGTTATTTCTTATTTTATGGTGCGTTGCGGTTTGTTTGTTTGATATATAGACCCAGTATGTCTGAAATAAATGATTCGATTCGATTCACATACTAGAAGCTGGTATTGGTGTTCTAGACTCAACTAGACGGGCTAGGCGAACATAGAACCAATAAGGACGCTAGGCTGCTCATACCGGTTGAACGTCATTGCTTTGGCACCGTGCTAAGACTGTATAAGTCGTATTTTCATCAGCGGATAAATCATGTGGTAACTAGCCGGACATAAAGTCAATAGTTTATGAAATCAACGAATGTGACATAATATACGGTGCCACGACCACCTGAACAATACTCTCATTAACCATATTTTCATATCATAAAACAACAAAAACGAACCATTTCTTCCTGTGTATCAGATGATATAAGTGATGTATTTGATAGAAGTTTAGTGATTTCGGCAGCCGATTGTGATTGGTTGTCATCAGACATTTTACGCAAAATGTCCACCGTTTTATTATGACGCTTGATCAATAATTGCAGTAAACTGAAAATATACAAACAAGAAGACATCATTGAATTTAGAAGTCAATAGAATAACCATCTACTGATATAGAAGAAATAATGGGTTTAATTTCCAGCGTTGGAAATGATGAAAGTCATACATGTAATGCAACATTCCTTGCAAATTTCACGTAGCACATTATCTTGATTGATTTTGTTAGGTATGCAGAGGAATATACCAATAATTATCGTGTAAAGTCGAATGGTATCCTTGGATGTTAAATGGACATTTCCTATTGGTCGATATTTGTTTCACTTGTTAAATATTGTGTAAATGTTGTTTTCTATTTTGTGGTACGATGTGGTTTGTTTGGTTGGTATATAAACAGAGTATGTCTGAAATACAATGATTCATATCTGAGAGGCTGTGACTTGCGTTCTGGACTCAACTGGCTGGGCTAAACAGGGAAGCAGGGCCAATCGGGACTCTAGGTCGTTCATTACGTGTTTACATGTCACTAATCCGATCGATATATACGCTGCTTATCGAAACCTGCAGTCCACACGTTACAACAGATTTCCGCAGTAACCCCGATTTACTAACCAGTAAAATCATTATAGCCTAGTAAATTTATTCTTAATGTTAATGTATTTTTCTGAATGCTTTGAAATATGTTAATTTGTGAAGTGATCAAAGTGCTGATAACTATAATAGAAGAATAATGAGCATCTCTTAGATATGATTCAAATATAATAAATATTGAATTCTTTTTTCCTCTGACTTCAGCTTATCCAAAAAACAAACATTTCTGTGAATATTTATTGAGAGAGACCAACGAAGAACGGATTAAACAAGGAGCTATTGAGTAATGAGGTCCTTAAAAGTACGGCAAAAAACACAAAAAAGATGAGCGAATCCGTATGAAACTTAAAGAGACTTTACCTACGAAAATTACACACTTTCTTCAAAGCACTAATAGGAATTGAAGAGGGAAGTTGATTATGAATACAGTGGTCTTGAGTGCTGTTAGAGGTTTGAGGGCGATTATTACTTCCCGGTTGCCCACACCGTGGAAGGGTTCTTCTGGAGGTACCTGAAAAGGAAATTCGATTAGAGGTGGTCCTAGTGACTTGAGAGCGTTACCACAGTGCCCAAGGGACAAATGCTTGAGGTCGGTCACACAGGACCTTTATATGGGTGATTTTTGTGTTAGCTCTGTACTTGTTGAGACGTTACCCTCGGAGACGGATATCCGTGGGATAAGATGAGGTGCGCATTTTCAAAGTCGACCTTTTCTAACCCCACCCCTCCGTGTAGGAAGGCAGCATCGATGTTATGCTGGTTGTTTAAAGGAAACACCTTACTGCCGTCACACCTCTACACAGTCAGCAGTACGACTTCACCTTCGGACCTTAGGTTTGTTGCTTTTAGTCTTAGCACTCTTCAACCGACCTGTCTGACATGGTAGGACCTTGAGGAACGGTTGTTCCAGCCAGTATAGCTTGGTTGCTTCATCACGATAGACAAGCCCGACCACCATGTCAAGGTAATAATAACGGTCGCGAGACAGTGATCCACAATACGCAATGGAATTATTTATTTATTTATTTTAACACATAGATATTGGTACAAGGAAGCACCAAATACATATGCGGAACACAAATCTCATTCGATATGTATGGGGGCTGTGATACTGCCCGGGTGCCCAAACCGAAACAGGTGGTTTTCTTAGGGGACCACACCCCGAGCCTTCGACCTGAAATTCTAACCCACAAGGTAGTGGAGCATCGTAAGGAGATGCAGTCCCATGGAAGCCGGTGACTAACGATTGGTTCATACGCCATTTGTTCCCGCAGGATACTGGAGCCCATGTGCGCCATTGGTTTGGAATCCGGTTAAAGCGCCGGACATTCGCTTTTCGTCTTCTTATTTTCGTAAACACCCCCGCCGCGAGAAGGCAGTGAGTAGAACTTCCCTGGCAGAGGCTATATACGTGTGGACATGTGAGAGTATTTCAAGAGAGAGAGTGGACTCTCCCCACTCTCGGCCGTACCAGGGCATTTGGGGGCGTGTGTGTGTGTTGGGGGTGTTAAAAGCCTGCGACACCCGGTATTCTCAGCCGGTCACCTATGCAAGTACTGACCGGGCTCAACGTTGCTTAACTGAGGTGATCGGACGAGAAGTGGTGCTTTCAACGTGGTATGGTCGCTGGCATACGCAATGGAAGATGATCACACAATATCGTGAATTGACGAGAGTCTAGTGGTTAAGAGATTAAGCATTCGTGTGTGAAACTGAAGGTCCTGGATTAGATTTTCTAAAGCAGAATCCTGGATCTGCACTGTCGATGAATCCCATATTACGAATAAACGATATCACAATAGTCCCTAATTCTCAATGTTAGTCCAACTAAGATTTTAAACTACGAAAATATTTGGCAATTAATTGTTTAGAGGACACATAAGAAAGTGTAGTGAGTAGTTATATTATATCGTATTATGTATTAATAAACCAATTTATAGTTACGATAATAACGACAGATATTATTTGAGAGAAAAGTGAAATCGTGATAAGATTCAAAGGTACTATGTATGTTTCATGAAAACTAATAATTAGGTAAACAATCTGAATAATTGTAATTTTTTTCAAAATTAATAACTACGTCCAAGGTGTAAAAAAAATGATTATGTAAAATTACTTACCCAACTAGTGTATCACATGCATGAGGATGAAGTTTAGTAATTCGGGGGGATAAGTTTGCTAGAGTTGCCAAAATATTAACATGAAGGTATTTGTCCTAATTAATAAAGAATAAAATTTACTTATAGTTTACAGTTGTATGTTGAAGTTTTTTAAAATTTTAATTCATATCAAACAGATAAAAATAAATTTTAAAATAACTTCTTGATTACCATCTAAAAAGATAATCATGTACACAAAGAAAAAGATAGTCAATAAATATCATAACACAATACGAAGTCATGTAAATAGTTTCAACTGCTAATTATGAAAACGATGGATGATGAGACTAGTTAGAAATCGAAGTTATGCCTACAATACGTCAAAAACGTACAATCCTATTATACAATTAAAAATGATAATTGGTACAATACAGACGAAGACATGATGTGACAAGATATTCAGCGAAAATACCAGAGATTATACTCATTTGTTTTGTATTGCTTTTGAATTCGTAGTTTAAAGGTTTAATCTAAAGAGTATCATAGATAATTTACTTATTCATTAATTAAGCACATACTAAAAATGCTCAATATGAAACAAGTACGAGTGTACGGAGTGCACAAATAATATAATGCAACAAACAACCCAAGGGGAAATAAGGAAGAAATTAAGCCACTTGAAACAAACGTTCTGATGTAGCAGTTTAGTATTGATGAAAGATGCCTATATACCTAAATGTGAAGCTACCTTATTCGACCATAAAAAAACACTAATTCCTGAGAAAATTAATCCAACTGGTGAACTAAACATGATAAATGACACTGAATAAATATTCTACAAATTGAATTTCTATTCAATTATTATATAAAGCTATGGAAGTAATTATGCATTTTTGACAGCGACGGACTTCAGAAAGCTCATAAATGAAACAGATGTAAAGAAATTCCGAAAAAAGAATGTATCTTACCTTCAATTGGTTCAAATGGTATTGAATGGTACGACAAAGAACTAATACAGTTAAGCTTCCATATGAAACATTCGAAAGTCGACGACTTGTTGACCACTGAACCCATTTAATATCCTTAAAAAGAGAAGTTGGATAGTTGACGAAACAGTAGATAACAGCAAGAAGAGAAAATAACATTTATTAATTAATACAAAAGTGTACGCATAGAACGGAAAAACGTCAGAATATGGGTAGCATTTTGAACAAACAAAAGGAGACCATAGGTACTTAAGTAGGTCATTTAAATAGTCAATGATTGATGAAACATCATGGTTTGACCCCTCCCAGTCATCTTTCAAAAGACCATAATAGTCAGTAGGCCGTAACACAATTATGACACGTGGTCACCGTGTATATTTCTAATTTTATTATTATTAGCTTTATTCAATATTATACTTTTGGTACAATACATAATTATCTGCACAAAGTACTTCAGCAAGTTTTCGTTTCTTACTTCTTGGTCGATCCTGGCGACAAATATTGAATGGTCAACCAGTTGTAAGTTAGCAGAATAATGTAAATTCTTTTCTCTGCAAATTGCCAGCGACCATAATGTAACTTGTACAGTGAAATGTTAAACTTTTCACAAACGCACCTGAATAGGTTATGAGACTATTAGGCATAATGATGTGTTAAAATGAACAAAGAAACAGACAACTTGTTGAAATATCTAGATTGCAGGAACGAGTTGTCCAGATACTCAAGCAGGCCGCTGGTCTAGTTTGGAGTACTATACAAAAACGAAACACAATTTCTTAGGTGGTTTTATTATATGGGAGAATAAGTATACAACTGACCAATTTTATTTCGGTTGTTTGTTTACTTAATCTCTGAAAAAGCAACTTAAACTAAGTTGCTAAACGTCAGAAACCCGAATTTTTACTCAGCGGTACCAAAAATATATCATTATTTTATTATTAATACTCTACCTAGTGCTTAATTTACACCATGGTATTGGTACCTAAAACTAACTAATCACTTGTTTTGAGCACCTACAACAATTTTAACATAAAAATTCCGAATACGGCTTTTGAGGATCTTTTCCACCATAACACACAAAAATAAGTAATTTAGAATGATAAATAATCATGTAGATACAATGGAATTCATTTGTCAAGCACAGATTTATGTGGATTGGTTGAAGATAGACATTAACACCGTGGGATGCAGGTTCAGTGGTTAAGCGTTCACGCGCGTGGAGAACGGTCGAACTCACTAACCAATATTTGAAAGTCAAATATTTCAGATGTAGATCTGCTGAGAAATTAATAAAAAAGTGAAGCTCAGGAGCCTGGGTCCAAAGTGCCTCTAGTTCGAAAAAAATAACCAAGCAGTTGGGTCACCTTAAAATACGTATTTAGAAAACTTCCTATAGACTTTTTAATATGTTAATTCAGTAGCTTCCAGCACACCTTGGCCGATAATTCAATTATACGAAATAAAAAACGTGAGTCCAATATTTTTATATATCAAATGAACCAATCAAATTAGAAACGGAGATGGAAAATATTACACGACAGTAAATACAGTGTATTTTCACTTGAAAGAGGTTTATAATCTCACGTCAAAGAATATTCTACTCAAAAACACTATTTTTCTACGATACCTACAACCTACGAATTAAGTAAAGGGAATTTTTTCTTATCAATTATACATGACTAAAAAGTTCAACAACATTCAACATCTGATTCTAAGAGGCACTTTTATCGACTTAGTCGACAATTTTTATTAATTTAAAACATTTGTAATGAAACATGAGTAAAATTTATAAATTACTTAACAATGAGATGGCTAATAAAGTTTTAAAGAGAATAACAGTTAGTAACAATTCCTGATTGAATACTCATTTCTTAATGATGAAATTATCAGTCTAATTACAACAAGAACATAAGCAGTCAAAAGTTAAATAAGGAATTATTAACTTCAGATATTTAAACATCTCATTACGAAAACCAACTTACCGGGAGTAATTAAATATTACGAACATAAACCCCTTACTATGTTTTCAGTCCAAACTAAACAATCAACGTAATTACTCATCAGAGAGATTCAAAACTATTACGGTAACTGGTCACATAAATAAATTGACCAGGGCCCCCAAATGCCCTGGTATGATCGAGAGTGGAGAGTCAACTGTCCCTCTCCAAATGCTATCACATGACCATGTGCATACGACCACTACCAGGGAAGTCCCACTCACTGCCTTCTCGAGACACTAATGTTCTTTACGAAATTAAAAAGACGAAAAGAGAATGTATGGCTCCTTAACCGGGTTGGCGTTCACGGAGAGTCCGCCTGGGGGAGTTGGAAAACCCTGATTCCAAACCAATCGTGCACATGGGCTCCAGTATCCTGACGGAACAAATAGTGTATGGACCAACTGTTGGTCACCAGCTACCATGGAACTGCATCTCCTGACGTTGCTCCACTGCCTCGTGGATCGGACCTTTAGGTCGAAGGCTTTGGGTGTGTCCCCCTAACAAAACCACCTACTTCAGTTAGGGCACCCGGGCAGTATCTCAGCACTCACATAAATCGAATGATTCATGTGACTCATATCTATTTGGTGCCTCCTTGTACCAGTGTTTATGTGTTTAAATAAATATATAAGTAACGATTTGATTTGATTTTGTATGACAAACAACAATTCTTGATTCACATATTACAATTTTAAATGGCATACGCTGCCTTAAATCTGGCCAATTTAATGGATTATTAATTTGGATTTATAATTGTAGAACTGTTAGGTCCCGATAAGCCTAATAAATGGTAATTTTTGGGATCCATTTGTGAACCGATAAAATGCGTATACTTTTATCGTATAATTGTTAATTAACTAAACTATTCATATTCATGTCTCTCTTATCATAAGCTTTATTTTAACCTATAAACTGTTATTATACGTTTTTCCATTCTTGAATTATGCCCTGTCTATAAGTCACTGCCTCCCACCTTCACAGCCACATTTGGCAAAATATTGTACAAATGTTATTTTCCATTTTATGGTACGATGTGGTCTGTCTGATTGGTATATAAACTCAGTATGTTTGAAATAAACGATTCATATTGCAGAGGCTGAGACTGGTGTTCTGGACATAACTGGCTGGGCTAGGCGGAAAGCAGGACCAATAAGGACTCTAGACTGGTCGCACGAGTCTTACGCGTCATTGGTCCGATCGATAATTTACTGCTGTCTAATTGGCGGTATCGTTACGTTATACATTAACAGGGCACTCAGGCCACAAGTTATAACAAGAACCTGATGAGAAACTATTGAAAAGAATATTCTTCGTCTATATAATTGTGTTTTAAATAAATAACTCACTGATGTGTGAATATCGCGTCCAAATTGTTCATTTTCCGTAAATATCAACAACAGAATTAATGCCATGTAGACAAGATGTGAATTATGTGATTGGGATTTATATAGAATATTTAATAATGGTGGAAGCTGAAAATAAATTAACAAAGGAAATGGTAATGTACATAGAACAAGATTTTATTTTCATAACTGACAAACAAAACACATTCAAATTATTGAGAATATTATTTATTAGTATATCATTTCATTCAGTCAGCTACAACGTAGGACCAGCCACATTTATGCATCGGTCCATGTTGCCTATTCTCCCACTGACTGCAGCACAGATGATGTAAAAGGTGAGTTTTACAGAAAGCTCTCCGACCTCCTCCTAAAAGCTAGGCGCTCGGATGTAGTAATAGTGGCCGGTGACTTTAATGCTCAAGTAGGTAAACTAAGCGATAGGGAAAGACACTTGGGTGGATCTTATAGCATTGTGGCTCAAAGAACAGATAATGGCGACCGTCTGTTGCAGCTATGCTCAGATAACCGCCTGTTCCTTGCAAATACTAACTTTAAGCATAAGGAAAAACATCTTTTAACATGGCGACCCCCTAATTCGTCCCAACGTCGGACCCAAATAGATTACACGTCAAGGTAGCAACAACGGTCGGGTGTATATCCTTTCGAACCAGTCCATATGCTTACCATCAGTGCTGAAACTTCTTAATTTGAAAGGACAGGTGGTTCGATGGCTAGCTTAATCATACAATATCTGTTCAAATAATAAAACTTGCTAAATTTAATCTTTAGTTGAATAAGGGACATGTTTGTCGGTCAGTAAGTTACCAATAACTAAGATGTTTGGGACAGAAGAAATAGTACATTAATTGGATCGAGTTACCTGCCGATATGAGCGATAGTATACCGTATCAAAAAGCTAACAAAACTAATGTTAATCCTAGCATTCGTCTAAGCATCAACATATAGGCCATAATGGAACTAAATCATTCACCAAGTACTGGAGTATGAGCCAGACTTTAGGTATGAAAACTACTGATATCTCCCGATCAACCAAGCCGAAGTAGGTGAAGAGGGCGTTGGAGCCTGAGACTTAGTGGTAGCAAGTTGAACACCTTAACCACTAAGCCACAACTCCATGGTTGATAAACGACGTATCACTTAATAGTTATTTTAGAAACAGTACTATAGAATTGCGTATGAGTATATGTTTTGAGATGTTTTGTAATACAAATAATTCTTATAAAAACTTTGGTTCCAACAACATCCAAACTAACATACGGTGGTAGAGTATATGCTATGAGAGTATGAATACTCCACAATTCATCCCAATAACATCTAACCTCATATAGTTGTCTGCTAGATATGATATTTATTATATAATGGTTCCAAATAAACTAATTACATGTAATGTTTTACAAATAATTTTGTTCCACTTACAATCGCAATGATAATGTAAGTCACTTTGAAACTAACAATAGCATATGAAACAGAATTAATCGTTATGTTGGTGTTTTGTAGCACAAACGATATAAAAAATGACTTCTTACCACTTTCTCATAACCCCGCTCTTGCATAATGAACGAATGAAAGTTTGTATTTCGATGAACTAAAAGGTACAATAACAGTGGGCTACTATCCTGAGACAATGTCGAAGCTGCTGTATCACAGATAGCAGTGAAATTTATTTGTGGTGATGATGATTGAGTAACTATGTTTAAATGTCCATTTAATGTAGCACCACCTGGCTGTAATCGAGGGGCTGAAGTACAAATAACATATACAAGACGAATGAAGCCGCTCAACATACTTGGTATGCAATAAATATTTATTCAAATCTACAATCTTATCACGAATTTATATGACAGTAAAACAAGCAGTTGTGTGGACAGATATAAACGTGTGACCGTTGCATTTGTAATAGTAACTTTATTGGATAGTATACGTTCATATACAATTGATCGTAACATTTTACCATATGTACGTTTGTCTATATTGTCCTTCGGTTATTTCGTGTATACATACAACCGAGTCAACCATTAATTCTTCTTCCACTACACCTCACGGAAAACTTGCATTGTACAAGTTTGTTTAGTTGAATTTGCTCGCTTGAAATATAATTGGTATCCATTTTCCACTAATTTATAAAACCCATATATTAGAGCAGAGCCCTAACGAAGAACCAATTGAAAGAAATATTTCTTTCCTCAACTTATCGTTTTAATGTTTCGATGAGAATATTCAATACATTTGAAATTTATTTTCCATACCTTAACTTTTATCTCAATTTCTTAAAGTAATATGAATCATGTGATCAATAGTGACCGGCTTTACGATGGGTTTCCTGCTAGTGAGAAGCCGTGACCAATGGAGTTCAACTGTATGTTTTGAGGCTGTTACTCACTGAAGACAATGATGAACGGTTGCGCGCTTTCGTGGATTGGTTGAAGCTAGACATTAACACTGTTGGATGCCGGCTCAATCTAGTGTTCAAGCGTTCATGCGCGAGATCGAAGGTCCTGGGTTCTCATTCTACGTGCGGGATCGTGAATGCGCACTGCCGAGGAGTCCAATATGAGAACGAAACGACTGTCCATTGCTTCTAGGTTTTCAGTGGTGGTCTAACATTGATCCACACATTATACGAATCTAAACTCAACGATCTGCACAACCTTATACTGATAATTTGAATATATGTCGATAGTAAGTCTAATGAGATATACGAAGTTACTCACTGTGGAATAGACAGTAACATGAACACGTTAATGATCTTCAGTTGCAGAGTAATTGAAACCGCAAAGAGATCAAGAGCTATTCCAGTTGAATTTTGTGATTTTATCAGGGTGCACCAAAGACTCTGACTTCTATTATTATTATTATTATTATTATTATTATTATTATTATTATTATTATTATTATTATTATTATTATTATCATTCAAGTTGTAATAAGCATTAGTTGTCTGGTTCCTTCCAGCTTGGCTAACACTTTAATTACTTCGAAAAACAATCCAGTAACAATATCTTAAAAACCTCTGATATCACATAAAACTTAAAATAAAATACTTATTCGAAAATAAAAATATTCATAATAGTGCAGCTGCATATGCATAGCCTACAGTTTATTATCGAAATCGCTCTCTTTAACTTTAATCAGAACAGCGAATCAGTACTTTAACGTATTCGTATCAGATTACTTTGGCTATATAACCTGAAATCAATACATAAAGTTCTTAACCGAAGGCTTTTATGTTTCTTTTCATCTATCGATTAACATTAAATTCACCTTCGCAGAAGTTAAAGTGTTGATAAATATTAAAATCAAGCATTAGTGTTATTTATAATTATAAAAAGGAATAATAGTGAGTGAACTTGTGCACAAAAGCCTTAATGCTTAAGACTAACTTGACTTTGGCAGCACGTGAGTTGTATCCATTATTGAATCAACTTGGTTTTTTTGAGTAACTTCATCTTGTAAAGAAAAAAGTGTTGTTCGATATGGATTTCGGCCTAAAGAATTCGAATCTTTAATATTATTTTCTGAATAAGTTGATACAGTCTTCTCAATAGATCCAGCCTGAGTAGTAAGTATCAATAAAAGTAGTGAGCTGACATTTGACAATAGATGACACTGTTCGTTTGATTTGATAGTTGATTCTGATGTTAAAAGATCTGTGGAAACATTATTTTTTACTGGTTCAACAACTGCAACATGCGGACTGTTCTGTATATCTGATTTTGTTGAACTATTGGCAGTGCGACTAAAGTAACCACCAAATGTGACGATTGTAACTAAACTACCTAAAATTAAGAAGACAGATGAATTTCAATAATAGCGCACAATTCACTATGGTACATCATTAAACACAACTACTGCTACTAACTCGATGGGTGAATAAAGTCAGCCGAATATATTTGGGTCCGACAACCATTGCCTAAACATCGCTTATTTCATCAGAAGCTTGTCAGCTTTTATTTATTTATTATTTATTTGAACATATAAATATTGGTACCAGATATATATATGTGCCAGCAATAACAATGAGAATGGGAAGAGAAAGAGGTGTACGGTACGTATAAGAGAGAAGGAAAATAAGAGAACAATAACGACCACGGTTTAGTGTATGGTAGTGTAATAATAATAATAATAATAATAATAATAATAATAATAATAATAATAATAATAGGGAAACAGTAAGGTACGACCAAGAATAATACTTGTAGTTAAGGAAGTTACAACCACTTTTTATGAAGAAAGTAAAGAAGGTTACAGCAGGATCGTCACTGGCTTCTATTCTGAGACATATCTGGTAACGTCTCTAGCCACTGTGTAGCACCATCTCTCAGACCCTAACCAGGAAGTCGTGAAGGACCAACACAAGCCATCCTTTTAAATCGTTCTTTCATACTACGACACCATGTCATACACTGACCACCTCTCCGCTTCTTCCAACCAGTCCCAGCGCCTGCAAATAATGCACGAAGATGAATTCTCTGGGACAATATTCGTAGAATATGTCAAAGCCACCGAAGTCGGTGTTTCAAGATAGTGACACCAATTGCATTATCGTCTCTGCACACGAACACACGATGACAAACCTCTGCATTACTGACATGGTGTTGCCACTGGATGTCAGCAATCCTTAGGATACAACGGTGATCAAACACAGAGTCGTCTAACGTCCTCAACTCGAAGAGGCCACGTTTCACAAGCATAGAGCAAAACTGCTCTCACCGACGCGTTGTAGATCCGACCTTTTACAGCCAGACTAACATCACGAAGGTGCCAAAGATAGCCCAGATTGGTATAAGCCGCTCTGGCTTTCAATATACATGAATTGATCTCATCACTCACGCCCCCACCAGCACTTATGCAGCTACCTAGATACACCAACTTCTCGACTACTTCTATCTGCTCACCATCCAGAGTGAGTACAGGATTAGAATCCTGCCAGTCTTGTAGAAGTACTTTGCACTTCGAAGGTGAAAAGCACATACCATATCTACGGACACCGATTGCCAACTGATTAAGTGAGGATTGCATGCCTCGGGCATTATCGCACAGTAAGACAACATGGTTCACATACTCAAGGTCGAGAGGTTTTTCTCCAGGCAACAGATCCACACCACCATTACTTACATTCATCAGAGCTGTTTTCAGAATATCATCGATGGCAAAGTTGAAGAGGAATGGTGAGACTGGGCAACCCCATCTATTTTATTATTATTATTATTATTATTATTATTATTATTATTATTATTATTATTATTATTAGCTTTATTCAATATTATATTTTAGGTACAATATAGAATTCTCAGCGCAAAGTATTTCAACAAGTTTCCGTTTCTTTCTTCTTAGTCGGTCCTGGCGATAAATATTGAGGAATCGCCAGTTAGATGTTAGCACTTCAGTTAATGAACAACTGAATAATGTACATTCTTTTCGTCGTACATTGCCAGCAACCATATTGTCTCTTATTGAGTTTTCTGTAACTTTGACAACGAAAGGTTGTACACTTTTCAGAAACGCAGCAGAATAGGTTATGCGATTAATAAACATAATGATATATTAAAACAAAACAACAATAGAAAACTTGTTGAAATATCTAGATGGCAGGAACAGGTAGCCCAGATGCTCAAGCAGGCCGCCCTATTTCTAGCCACACTGCTCGAATGGAACGATGGAGAGAGAAGGTTGTATGCCCTCACTCTACCTGAAGTGCTTGTATATAGGGCCTTTAAGATGTTGATAAACTTCTCAGGCACACTCTTCTTCAATAAACAATCCCAGAGAACAGTCCTGTCCAACGAATCGAAGGCAGCCCTGATGTCAAGAAACACTATACTTTCTGGCCTTTGATAAGTATGACGGTGTTCTAAAATTTGGCGGAGGTTAAAGATATGATCAATACATCCTCGACCAGAACGAAAACCAGCCTGCTCCTCGCGAGTCAATATTTCTCGGGTTTTGAACAACCTACGAAGTATGACGGAAGTCAATAGCTTGGACGCAGTCGGACATAACTCCGCCTGTAGCTCTTCTAGAGTTACTGCCGGTCCCAAGCCCGGGTAAAGGAGGAGGGTTGGGCATGGGGTTAGCGTCCCCATCCCGTAGAAAACTAACTCGCTAAAAAAACGCTTACCAGAAAAAATAATCCAAACCATTTTAACTCTGCCCTGGGAGTTAGAAGGTCTTCATTTAGAAGAATTATGACGCTTCATGGTGAAAGCCGAGTTCCTTCGGAAGCCACGAGGCCGATGCCCCTTCTAACAACCAGAGCAAATATTTTTATAGGTACATGGAACGTCCGAACAATGTGGGAGACCAGGAAGACCAGTCAAATATCAATGGAAATGAGGAGATACAACTTAGCAGTACTGGGAATCAGTGAAACCCACTGGACACAAGCTGGACAGAAAAGGCTAGCTACGGGAGAGATGCTGCTATACTCCGGTCACGAAGAGAACAATGCTCCACACACTCAGGGAGTCGCTCTTATGCTGTCCAAAGTAGCACGAAATGGACTTGTAGGATGGGAATCTCACGGATCTAGAATCATCAAAGCATCATTCAAAACAAAGAAGGAGGGGATCTTAATGAATATTATCCAATGTTATGCACCCACCAATGATAGCAACGACGAAATTAAAGATCAGTTCTACGAGCGGCTGCAGTCAATCATTGAGAAATGCTTAAGAAAGGACCTCACCATTCTGATGGGAGATCTAAATGCCAAAGTCGGAATAGACAACATCGGAAATGAAGATATTATGGGGCAACATGGACTGGGAGAGAGGAACGAAAATGGAGAAAGATTTGCAAATTTGTGTGCATTCAACAAATTAGTCATAGGAGGCACAATATTTCCACACAAGCGTATACACAAGGCTACATAGATCTCACCGGACCACACTACAGAGAATCAGATAGACCATATTTGCATCAACAAAAAATTCCGAAGGACAATGGAAGATGTGAGAACCAGGAGAGGAGCTGACGTAGCTTCAGATCACCACCTAGTTGTAGCCAATTTAAAAATGAAGCTAAAAAAGAACTGGACAAGTGGACAAACAGCACGACAAAGGTTCAATACAGCCTTCCTTCGAGATACTGACAAACTCAATGAATTCAAGATAGCTCTCAACAACAGGTTCCAAGCCTTTCAAAATCTACTGAAGGAAGAAGAAACTACTATGGAGGACAACTGGAAAGGCATCAAAGAAACATTGACTTCAATGTGTCAAGAGGTTCTGGGCCTAAAGAAACATCAGCATAAGGAATGGATCTCTATAGAAACACTGGACAAGATCAAAGAAAGGAAGAACAAGAAGGCAGTAATAAACAACAGCCGAACACGGGCAGAGAAAGTTCAGGCACAAGCTGAATACATAGAAGCAAAGAAACAAGTGAAGAGGAGCATTAGAGCCGACAAGAAGAAATACGTTGAAGAACTAGCAACGACGGCAGAAAAAGCTGCTAGAGAAGGAAATATAAAACAACTTTACGATACAACGAAGAAACTAGCAGGGAAATACAGTAAACCAGAGAAGCCGGTCAAAGACAAGGAAGGCAAGCCAATCACTGAAATTCAACAACAGCGTAACAGATGGGTAGAATACTTTGAGGAACTCCTGAATAGGCCGGCTCCTATGAATCCACCGAACATCGAAGCAGCACACACAGATCTTCCTATAGATGTCAACCCACCAACGACGGAAGAAATTAGAATGGCCGTCAGACAAATCAAGAACGGGAAAGCAGCAGGACCCGACAACATACCAGCTGAAGCACTGAAATCAGACGTCGAAGTAACCACAAGCATGCTTTACCCTCTATTCAAAAAGATTTGGGAGGAGGAACAAGTGCCAATGGACTGGAAAGAAGGGCACCTCGTCAAGATTCCAAAGAAAGGAGATCTGAGCAAATGTGAAAACTACAGAGGCATAACACTACTGTCAATACCAGGGAAGGTCTTCAACAGAGTTTTGCTGAACCGGATGAAGGATGCAGTAGACGCTCAACTTCGAGATCAACAAGCTGGATTCCGTAAGGATCGGTCGTGCACAGACCAAATTGCAACACTACGCATCATCGTCGAACAATCGGTTGAGTGGAACTCGTCACTATACATCAACTTCATTGATTATGAAAAGGCATTTGACAGTGTAGATAGGAGGACATTATGGAAACTTCTTCGACACTACGGAGTTCCTGAGAAGATTGTCAACATTATCCGGAACTCATACGACGGACTACAGTGCAAGGTCGTGCATGGAGGACAGCTGACAGATGCATTCCAAGTAAGGACCGGGGTCAGACAAGGCTGTTTACTCTCTCCCTTTCTCTTTCTTCTGGTGGTCGACTGGATTATGAAGACCTCGACATCTGAAGGAAAACACGGAATACAATGGACAGCTCAGAACCAATTAGACGATCTGGACTTCGCAGATGACCTAGCCCTCCTATCACGTACACACGAACAGATGCAGATGAAGACAGCCAGTGTAGCAGCAGTCTCTGCATCAGTAGGCCTCAGTATACACAAAGGGAAAACGAAGGTCCTCAAATTCGAAACGGAAAACAGCAATCCAATCACTCTTGATGGCGAAACTCTGGAAGATGTAGAATCCTTCACATACCTGGGAAGCATCGTCGATGGACAAGGAGGTTCAGATGCAGACGTAAAGGCGAGGATTGGCAAAGCAAGGGCCGCATTCCTACAATTGAAGAACATATGGAATTCAAAACAACTTTCAACCAATATCAAAGTGAGAATCTTCAATACGAACGTCAAGGCAGTTCTACTGTATGGAGCTGAAACTTGGAGAACTACAACAACCACAATCAAGAAAGTACAAGTATTTATAAATAGCTGTCTACGCAAGATACTCAACATCCATTGGCCAGATACCATCAGCAATAGCCTTCTGTGGGAGAGAACAAACCAACTTCCAGCTGAAGAGGAAATTAGGAGAAGACGATGGAAATGGATAGGACATACATTACGCAAATCGTCAAACTGTATCACGAGACAAGCCCTAACTTGGAATCGTGAAGGGAAGCGGAAAATAGGAAGGCCAAAGAACACATTACGTCGGATAATAGAAGCAGATATGAAAAGGATGAATTACAACTGGAAGGAGCTGGAAAGGATTGCCCAGGACAGGGTTGGATGGAGAACGCTGGTGAGCGGCCTATGCTCCTTCACGAGGAGTAACAGGCGTAAGTAAGTAAGTAAGTCGGACATGGCCAGCCCTATCTGCACAAAATCTGTACACAATCGAACTAGGTAAACACAAATCTTAACAACGATTATTCACTACCAAGTGACTACATTGAACAGATTTATGACCCTAAATTCGGAAATACTAAGCATGAAATCTGGTGTACCTGAACAAGTAACTTCGAAAAGATAGTCCACCAGGGAGATATATATGCAGTAAAGTAGATTAGACATACCTGCAATAGACGACGCCGCACGCCATATTAAACTATATTGTTCAAAGCCATGTAAAAGTGTTGGGACAGGACGATTTTCAGAAAAGTTAGACAATAATCGGTAAACTAAAGCAGGAGCAAGAGATGCACTGGAATGCAAAAAAAGAAGGAAACGACTAACAAACAATCAGGCTTAACAATAAAAAGTAGTTGATCTGATTTTGAAGTGCAATACTTGCGTTCCTGTAAAGATACATAATAAAAGAGATAGACACTTAAAGTAACTGCTTCGGGAAAGGAGAGTAAAAATGTTACTGTAAGGCGGAATCTTAACTCCACCTGGAGCCCCTTTAGAGCTAATGTTGGTCCCGAGCCCGAATAAAGGAGGAGGGTTGGAAATATGGTTAGCGACCACATCCCGTAGAAAACTAGCTCGCTAAAAAACGCTAACCAGAAAAAAATGATTCAAACCAATTAAACTCTGCCATGGGAGTCAGAAGGTCTTCATTTAGAAGAGAGGACGCCTCATGATGGAAACCGATTTCCTTCGGAAGTCACGAGGCTGATGCCCCTTCTGGTAACCAGAGCAACCGGTTAGAGCACCAAACAGTCACTTTTCAATCCTACTTTTCTATCTTGAGCTGAACTAAACACTAATGAGCCGAGTGGAGTTCAACTCATCACGACTGGTGGTATCTTAGGTTACGAGAACTTTCATATGCGACAACGTAATAAATTAAGGTTGGTAATGGTTAGCGCACTAAGGCTATCAAGTAGAATAAGCGAAGTCAGCTTTCTTGCTAGGCGCTTTTCGAAGAAACCGGACCAACTATCCGTGTCGCCGAAGGGAGAGCAGATACGGATAAATGTGGCATGAGATAAAATTTAGTGGTAATGAGATGAATTACAAAAACCATATGAATAGTCTATAATAAACTCACCACTTTCCCCAGACAACAGAAACGTAGACTTGTGGTAGAGGAGCCGATAGTTCTTTATACATTTGTCTAGAGAGTAACACTATACACAACAAATGAGCTTCGCAATGCAACAAGTAAGTATTGTCTCTGAAAACAATGAATGGTAAAATTGAACTTACTGGATAGGCAGATTAGTTATGAGCCTGAAAAGTACAGGGAACAAACATTCAATTACAGACAAACAATGAGGACCTAGGGAAAACACTGTTTGACTGAAGATAATTATACCTTCAGGAGAATTAACAGAGAAGTGAGAGAAAAATCTGGCTTCAGAGCAGTGCTCCATCAAGTACTTCACCGATAAACGTAGAATAAGTAGTCCATTTTGAGCAATTAATACTGTGTCTTCGATTCTAAAAATACAGGATAATTGTTAAATAAATCTACATGTCTGGTGAGGCTATTAATTCTGACATCTTTGATATAAGAAATTGCGTGAGATTGGGAATGTTACGAGAGTGAAAGTTATTTTTCTTCAAATCCTTTAGCAAACTTTTATTTGCTTTTTCAAAGTCTATGAGAGAGCTTGTATCAAGAGTTCGGTGAGCTGATAATCAAATTCACACACCTGCTTTTTGTTGTTGAGCCAACAGAAGACAAAAATTCCCTCCAATATTCACTGTTAGGTGGTATTCCATCAGTCCCTACAAATCTTTGTAGTGGCTCATCCTTGGACACATTAGCAAGTGTGCTGTTACTAGATCCCATTTTTTGTAGCGTTGTATAATATTAAGCTACTACGAAATCTGAAGGTCATGATTTAGTATGAATAAAGTTAAGGTCACTTGAGAAAATAAGTGATTAGTCATTTTACAGAATAATATCTTCAAAAAAACTTAGAATAGTGAATTTAGTAATGGCTGTAAAATATTGAGTTGAGTTGTATTCATCACTTGCGTCAATTCATATGCTGAATACCCACAAGTTATGTTACTACTTGTTGTGCAGTTTGTTCTTTCCTATAATGCAGCTTATGCTTTGGAAAAAAGTCAAGGCGCTCTTGGACCTCGCATTTTTACATTTGTCCATGGTGATGTAGATGCAAAACTTAATTTCTCTGCAGCGGAACGTTACTGTAAATCTGTTGGAGGGCTATCTGATACAAATAACATGGATGATTCAAAAAATAAACAGGACCGTCAGCACCTGATCTCCAATCCATCACAAAGTTATAAGGATGGAATGGTCCTACGAACGTCTCTGGCATCCGTTCATTCATATCCAGAAAATCTAGCTTTGGTAAAGTGGGTAGCCAAACAAGAAAAGCATTCATTTTGGATAGGAGGTAAAATTACTAAAACAATGAATGAGTTTACAAGACCCATTTATGTTTTGCACTGGGTTGACGGTAGTAAAAGTGATTTCAGTCTTATTCGCTTACCTAATCCAGAAATAACTTCCATGCGAATTGGTGAACAAAGATGCACGTCTGTTGATTATAGTTCTGGACAGTGGGGGGTTCACTTATGTTCTGAAAAGAGATATTTTGTTTGCCTTACAGTTCCAGTCCTCAATACAGAAAATCAGGAAACTACTAAGCAGAAGGAAAAATCATCACCCTCTTTGGAAAAGAAATCTGAAACACACGATGCTTTAATTGATGATGAAATGGGAAGTACGTTATTATGATTAGTGTGATATCTTGAAGATTCAATAAGTAGGTAGAAACAAAAGTCCTGATAATCAGTGTTAAATGTTTAATATTTTTCTTTGTTGTTTGTATATAGAATGAAAAATATACAAATATACTGTTAAAAATAATTTTTTCCCTAAGTATATTCATTTGTTTAAAAGTACCTCTCATAAATGAAAGGAAGCAGATGTACCTGATAGCTTTATAGCTTTTAAGATAGGTAAATATGCACTTGAAATTTTCTTCATATGTATTAAATATATAAAAATCTTATTAGGTAGCTGGATATTTTACGTCCATAACTATGTATATTATCGTTAATTTTATGTTATTATGGTTTCACAACTTATAACACTTATTTCAACTTTGTATAAATGCTAAATGATGAATTTTAGTTTGATTTAAGTAAAAGAACTGAACTTTTACTTCTAGGTCCCGTGTTTATAATTGAGTGAAGTCTTTTCTATTAACTAATTCTAGTATTTTAACTGCAATTGAAGAATGTTAGACGATTTGAAATTTGGTCCGATTAGTTTCTCCTTACTGTTATCGTCAAAATCATGGTAAATTTACATCTAAAATGAAGCTGACATGTGTTGAGTAATTGTATTTTTAAAAAAAATAGAACTATAACCTTAACAACTCCTCGTACATGACAAGTTTGGGATGCTTAAGAGTTGAGAAGATAAGGATTAACTGATTCATTCATATGGTTCTTACGACATATTTTTTACTCACTTTTCACTAAGTGGTTATTTTTATTAAAAGGAGGGAAATATCCATGGTTCTATGTATATAGTTATAAAACACCATAAATCAAATATGGAAGTAATCAACTGTAAAGTTGACAATTATCTATGTAATATGTAACTAGTCTTTTGTTCTCTGAGCTAGATGGTTTAACTAGTGTTTTTGTAATTCCTAACAAATGTTTCCACAAAGATTTCTAGTATATTTTTTGAAAAGAAAATAGTAATCCGCCAACCATTTATTGAGGTTTATTTGAATAATATTGATAGAGGAAGATTTAATTAAACTTTCTCCTAGGATTTCATAATAACTAGCCCGAATAATGATTTAATCATTCGTATTTATTGACAGCTAGGTTAAATTAAACGGCTTGAGATATCTATATTAAATCCACATAAAGCGTACGTAAATTCTCCATGAAGTAAGCTGTATGGTATCTAAAGTGTCTTAATATGTAGTTTCAGTGAGTGCATTGATCAATAGATTTCCTACAAGGTTCATTACAATTGTTTAGAATCACTAAACCTTTTGTTCATTCTTAAGTGAATAAAATCTTGAGTATCTTTAAAGTTAGTCGAAAGTCCCCTTGTAAATGTAAAGCTGCGATATGCATTGATCATAAATTCCTGACTTTCATTTGGCGACATTTAGATTAAGAAGCTGAATCAGTAGTAAAGCTTTATGCACAGGAAATTGGATTTTCAGTATTGAATATGTGAGGTGCAATAATTAGAGTGATATAAAAATCAATACAATAGTAATTTCGAGATATTTTGAAATTACCATGTAGGCCTTTAGTTTCGATTCTTGACTACATTTCAGCCAATCATCGATGTAAAGAGGTACCAATACTGAAAGCGAGTTGTGCTTTTTTTCCATATACTGTATCTGTGTATTTAATACCACGTATAATAAAGTTTGTTTGACTGTACATAATAGGTGCCAACTGAGATCATTTTGACGTAATAAAAGGGTTGGTATGTTCTAGCTTATGGAAGTTACTTTTAAATTAACCTTAAATATAAAACAACAGATAAAATGTATAAACACTTTTCAGTTAATTACTCTTTATAAGAACAATTTGTTTTATTGTTGATTAAGCTACCATCCAAATACAATTCACTTTGCATTAAAACGTTCATCATTTTATTATTCTTATTACTACTAATCCACTTGTCTTCTTCTTATTAATTCGCACGTTTTAGTTATTATCTGTTGTCCATCTCAGTGTGATCATTGATTCAAATCGCGTTCATTAGTTTAATATTTCTTAGACTGACATAAAGATCCGTGTATGTCAGTGTAAAACCTGATGATGATCTAAATGAAAACAATATTTTTCGTTTATATGTGTTGTTCTACTTTGTATTATATTAATAACCAATGCTTATATTCAGATTGATTAACTAATGCATATACTCTGGAAGTTATTTTACTCGTTAGGTAGGTTCTTCGAGGAAGCATTAGCAAATGTGTTAAAATCAGACGTACTTTAGTTCACTACTTGTTAGAATTAAGGCATAAATCAATTTTTTTTAATTTTTCTAGTAAAAGAATCTCATTTGAGATGGATATAACGTTTAACATTGATTGTAGGATTTAATTAGAAAATAATTGACTTCATTTGATGTTATCAAATCATCAATCTATTTTTACTATAACTGGGAAATAAGATTAATGTTTATAATAAAAATACATAGTAGGCAAAGGCGAATGGTGGCTAACAGTGGAATCCAAGACGCGCGTTTTTATCAGATTTCAGACTCGTCAGCTGGATGTACCTGCATCTCAGACCCGAGACTCGTACCCAGAGCCGTTTGCTTCAATCGTCACCGCGTTATCCACTTAGCTATTGAGTTCAGATAGCCACCTGCTCGTGCCATGATGTGAACTCAGTAGCTAAGTGAATAACGCAAAATTAGCGGGTACAACAACGGTAAATAGAATCGAACTAGAATAATGATTAGGAACTGAACTGAGGTGGAGTTAGAATAATATTAAACTGACTCCAGAACTGATTCGACTAGTAAATTTATTAACTTTGTAATAACTCTGGAATGTAGTGTGATAACCCTGAACTCTATTGGACTGATCTAATCTCAACTGAACTATGGTTCTGAAGTGGTAGTCTAATATTGATCGGCTGATGATTATAATTACAAAAAAAATGATAATCGATATCTTTTTTAGATTAGGAGTTAAATTAACTTGAAAAGTCAGCTATTGAAATACAAAACATAAGTGAACGGTTTTTATGTATTCTACAGACGATTCCGTTTATTATTTTGAAAGGAGCAAATTGAGAAAGTTTTCAATTACAAAATAAGAAATCAATAAATTTATCTTATTCATTGATATTTTGTACTTAAAAATATTTAGTAGTTGCTTTTTCATTATAAGATAGAAATATTCTCTTCTTTTAGAAACTAAACTATTAACGTTTAATACAGATAAAACAATCATCATCAATATACAACAACAACATTACCCCTGCCCCCCCCCCATTATCATTTTTTATTATAATCTATATTAGTAAAATTGTTTCTTTAAATTCTATGTCCAACACAATAGAGGCTTAAGCATTAAAAAAAATTTTATTATTGATTATAATGAATATTTAATACATTTGCTTTTATTGATTTGATATTAGATCTCTTATTATTATAGTTAATCAATAATAAATTACTTAAATGATCTCAAGTTTAAAAAAAAGAAAAAAAACTCCTCATTCATTTCATGATAAGGGATTACATTTTAATGATTCAATTAGATGTAAAAGTAACTAATTGATTAGAGATCAGTAAAAGTTTTTTAATTATTTTTTAGACTGATATTCAAGTTGTATGTATAAGTTGAACTAAACTAAACTAACTAAAGTAACATTTTCGATTGGTAAAATGATATTAATGAATGAAAACTATTGACTTTTTTTATTAGGTGGCTATTTTCTAGTATTTTCTGATAAATAACGTGTCTATGACGAAATCAACTAAATGAGGTATGGTGGGCAGCCATGACGAACACTACTTGAAGCTGGTTATTCTGATGACAGCAAGCCTTAATCTTTGATCGAACTATTAATGTATGAATAAAGAGCCTTTACAAGATTGATTTACTTTCTTGGTACACCTTTCAGTGACAGACTCTGGCAAAAAAAGTATCAGATCTACGGAGTCAAACGCTGCCTTGTGATAAAGAAACGTAGTTATGATTAGATGTCGGAAAGTATATCTATGTTCCAGAATCTGATAAACGGGAATTATTTGACAGAAAATCAACATCCAGGTCTGAAACCAGCCAGGTTTTCTCGGAGTTGTTCTTTACTATTCTTAGCTAAACATTGAATGATTAAAGAGGAGAGCACTTTAGACACCAACTTGGTAAAATTGACTTGATTATTATTAGCTCGAGAGGGTATTTTTCTTTTCTTTTAGTTAATATTTATGGCTGATCACTAATTTCACGTGACAAAACCGCTATTCAGAATATAGACTTTTATCACTTTTTCCCTGAACTAACCAATGACATGAGAACCAGTACTAGTAGTCTTGATTCACTGTTAAGTCTTTGTAGGTTTTTGATCGGGTAGCTCTTCTTCCTGTCATTACGTCACCGTCTTACTCTTGAGATTATCAATTCATACCTAAGGAAATCAATTATTCTTACCAACAGTTAACGGCGAAAGACTGTTTACAGAAAAGTTATATTCCACAAACTATGAAGGTGGAAGAAAGTTTTATATTGAAGTTAGCAATAACGATGACTTCATCAGGGTAACACGGGTTTATTTTGCATCGTTACGTTTTCACAAACTGCTCATAAGCTGTAATATTTCAGACACAAAGTTATAAGGCAAATGTCACGTATGTTTTTAAAATTTCCAGTCTACAAATAGTAATGGTTTTAATTTGGTTTGGTTTTAAATTAACGTTTCGGTGACACCAATCGAGCTCCGAATATTTTTAACGCTGAATTTCATGAAGCGACACACGAATTTCGTCACTATAGAGTGTATCAAGTAATTATCAACTTTCAAATGTATTTAAGAGGATAATATGAGATGTTAGGACCATCATACATAGACGGTTTCTGGAAAATCAATTAGGTTAGTAGTAAGTCTATCCAGCTTTGAGGCAATTGGTTAGGTAGCCATGTACGTGAACTGAAATTAGTGATTACTGAGAATAAATATCAATGGGTTTAAGCTTTGTTAAGATGAAATCATAATACAAATTTAAAAAGAGGTAAGCTGAGAAGCTGTGTAGTTAGCTAGAGCCAAAGTTTAGAGCTTGATTTAATTGTAGGATATTATTTAATTGGTACGATTATTAACCTTCTGCTAATTGTCCACACAGCATCATAATCGTTAAAACAG